GTTCATAGTTCTATAAGGACTTAAAGATTGTAACATCAAAGGTAGTAAAGTAGTCATGTAGGGTGATACAGCGGGTGTATAGCTAGGAGTAGTGGGATGAAAATGAGGAAAGGAGAGTTTAGACAGTATCTGGAAACATTAACTAACCCTCTCATGGATAGGCCTAATCCAAAGAAGTCAATGGAAAAATTAACTTCAATAAGCTTTTTATCAAGCCCTGTGACTATGTTTTCTTTAATGAATCTGATGACTAATAACAGAAAATTAGTGGAATTACAATTAGGGTAGATAAAATGACCCAACATATAGGCTGTGTCTAGACTGCATCCCTTTTCCGTAAAAGGGATGCAAATTAGACCTATCGCAATTGCAAATGAAGCGGGGATTTAAATCCCCCCCGCTTCATTAGCATAAAAATGGCTGCCGCTTTTTTCCGGCTCGGAGCTTTGCCGGAAAAAAGCGCCAGTCTAGACGCGGATCTTTCGGAAAATAAAGCCTTTTCCAAAAGATCCCTTATCCCTCATTTTAAGAGTCCACTCAAATGAGGGATAAGGGATCTTTCGGAAAAGGCTTTATTTTCCAAGAGATCTGCGTCTAGACTGGCGCTTTTTTCCAGCAAAGCTCCGAGCCGGAAAAAAGCAGCAGCCATTTTTATGCTAATGAAGCGTGGGAGATTTAAATCCCCGCTTCATTTGCAATTGCGATAGGTCTAATTTGCATCCCTTTTACGGAAAAGGGATGCAGTCTAGACACAGCTATAGTGTAGAGAACAATCCTACTTTGGTGGCAAGGGATTTGATAACTTATAATAAAAGTTCTCATCTATCTTTAATTTTTATGATTGCTTGCTCATTAGTGGACTTTTTCTGAGCACACCAGTGACAAAATGAAACTATGATCACAGAAATTAAAAATCTGCTCAGTTGTATGGATTATCACAGCAAAAACTGAAGACCTTCTCCCCTCAGCACCCACGTACAAAGAGGAAACAAATCAAATCGTTCATTCTTTGAAAGCACTTTTTAGTCACTCACCATGGGGCTGCATGGGTCCAGTGGCTGGGGGAGCCGTAGCTGTGAGGCAAACACACTCCTCCCTGCAGAGTTACTCAGGGGAGGCAGCCCATGGTGCATACTGTCTGTAACTCTCTGATAAGCCAAACTATTTCCAGAGGACAAATATGCTTCTCTGAAGAGACATCAAAATCACTTTTTAAGTATTAACTTTATAAAATCTTTTTTTTGAAATATAGTCTGTAACTAGCTTGTACTTTCAGATTAATATGCTGAACTGAACATCACAGCCCTGGGCAGTGACCTGCAACTAACTGCAGTTTCGTACTTAATGAAAAGTTAAGGGCTTGTCTACATGGTGGTTTAGTCGACATCAGGGGAGTGTTAGTTTCAGTTCGCACTTGCAGTCACACATAGACTGGCCTATATACCCTTTGCTGATTTACAAAAAAAGTGCCCTCGTACATATCAAGGTAGTTCCTACTTACTAGGGAATGACAACAGGGTCTGCATGGGCTAATTCATGCATGGCATGCAAGTCCAGCCTGTAGCAAGTCCATAAGCAAGTTGCTATGTCTCAGCTGAACACCAGTGGTGAAGGTAACTGCCAGGACTTACTGGTACACTGAGATCTTTGGCAAGATGAGAGGGCGACTCTGGGCCCCTGGAAGAGGTGGAGCCCCATGGCAGCCAGGAACCCCTAGGCTGTCGTGGCAATGGCAGCCAGGAGCCTCGGAACTCCAGCGGCAATTTGAAGGTCCCAGCTGCTGCTGCAGTAGTGGCAGTGGGGAACCAGCCCCATGCCCTTTCTATCTCCTCGGCCTTTTGCTCCCCCGTCGGACGCTACTAGAAGGGCTACAAATGGAGCAGGCAGCTGCCATGTCAGCACTTTAACATTGGCCACATACAGACCAGTATCAGTGGCCAGTTTTTACCAGTACACCGTACTAGCTCATACCAGCCCACTTTTACCTCTGCTGAACACAGTGACGGGTCACTTGCAATTGCCTAAGAAACTACTGCTCAAAAATGTATCTTTTATAAACATCTAGAAGCTGGTGGATTAACATAAATTAAAATACAACCTAATGGTAGGGACATTTATTGGAAAGTAGCTGTTCTTAGGGTAGAAGGGTAATCTTGTAGCTAAACACCATGACTACGAATCAGAAGTAGAGCTGGGCAAATAATTGATTTGTTGGTTTGCTGGCAATTCCAGAAAATTGAAAAGCAGTTTCATTTAGAGGCTGGACCAAAAATTATTTTGGGGGGCCAAACTGAAAAAAAAAAAGGTAAACATTTAGATAGGGAAACAGTGACCCAATAGCTTGGTCATTAGAGCACTTTCCTAGGATGCAGGAGATTTAAACTCAACTCCTTGATTCAATAACAATTATTTATATAAAGTAGAACAGCTTCAACAAGAGAGATGGAGAATACCCCACACCAGAATAGCCCAGAGTCCAGTGGCTAGGATACTCCTGTATTGTGAAAGATCCACATTCAAATTCCTTCTCCATATCAGACAAAGGACAGGGGAGATTGAACTGGGTCTCCCACACCTTGGGTGAGTGCCCTAACCACTAGGCTAAAAGTTATGAGGAGGATACCATCAACACTTGTCTCATTTTGCAAATCCCATCTGAAAAGTGAAACGTTTCTATAATGACTAAGAACATACATGTGGAGAGATCCCATATCCATTGCATGTTCTGCCATAAAGACACAGAGACACAATGCTCCTTTGTTATACACTCTATATAAATGAAACTTCCAAAAACTAAACTGGAACTTGGCCTAAATATACAATAGCTCTGTAAATTCATTCGAATCTCTTTGCTGTAGCCTTTTCTCATCCCCACTTTTTTGCACACCTTTTAACTAAAATCCTGAAGCCAAATGATTTCCTGCAAGGTGATGATAAACTAGGCAAATATAACTTAGATAGGGCCACGATAAGGTGGGTGCATAATTGGCTGGATAACCGTAGTCAGAGAGTTGTTGTTAATGGTGCTAAATCCTGCTGGAAAGGGATAACAAGTGGAGTTCCGCAAGGGTCTGTTTTGGGACCCGTACTGTTCAATATCTTCATCAATGATGTAGATATTGGGATAGAGAGTACGCTTACTAAGTTTGCAGATGATACCAAACTGGGTGGGGTTGCAACTTCTTTGGAGGATAGGGACATAATTCAAAATGACCTTAGCAAGTTAGAGAAATGGTCAGAGGTAAACAGGATGAAGTTTAATAAAGAGAAATGCAAAGTGCTCCACTTAGGAAGGAACAATCAGTTCCATACATACAAGATGGGAAGCGACTGTCTAGGAAGGAGCATGGCGGAAAGGGATCTAGGGGTCATAGTGGACCACAAGTTGAATATGAGTCAACAGTGTGATGCTGTTGCAAAAAAAGCAAATATGATTCTAGGTTGTATCAACAGGTGTGTTGTAAGCAAACCTCGTGAAGTCATTCTGCCGCTCTACTCTGCACTAGTTAGGCCTCAGCTGGAGTACTGTGTCCAGTGCTGGGCGCCACATTTCAAGAAAGATGTGGAGAAATTGGAAAGGGTACAGAGAAGAGCGACAAGAATGATTAAAGGTCTAGAGAACATGACCTATGAAGCCAGGCTTCATGAACTGGGCTTGTTTAGTTTGGAAAAAAGAAGATTAAGGGGGGCCATGATAGCGGTTTTCAAATATCTAAAAGGGTGTCACAAGGAGGAAGGAGAAAAATTGTTCCTCTTGGTTTCTGAGGACAGGACAAGGAGTAATGGGCTTAAAGTGCAGCAAGGGAGGTTTAGATTGGACATTAGGAAAAAATTCCTAACTGTCAGGGTGGTCAAATATTGGAATAAATTGCCAAGGGAGGTGGTGGAATCTCCCTCTCTGGAGATATTTAAGAACAGGTTAGATAGACATCTGTCAGGGATGGTGTAGACGGAACTTGGTCCTGCCGTGAGGGGGGGGGGCTGGACTCGATGACCTCTCGAGGTCCCTTCCAGTTCTATGATTCTATGATTCTATGAGCGCCCTCAACTCCTGTTCTTTCAGGAAGTGCTCGTCACCATTTAATTTTAATCGATTTGGAATAGGGGTCCTGTCTTTTTGCACATTTATTGTGCACATATGGCTCTGCATAAGTAATAAACAGAGTACTTTTAGCAATAAAGGGGTTGTCAGACAAGTTTTAAGGACATCTCAGAGCACTCACAACTGGGATATATCAAAGGACTCATAAGAAACAAATATGCATTTTAGTGTCATTATGATTTCACTTACATTATGACCCCAGAGTGGAGAAAATGAACTTTAATCACACTCCCAATAAAGAAGCAAAAAAGTTACAGTGTACAGCACAGTGTACAGTGTACAGTGTTTTAATTTCCCATCAACATACTAATCTTTATCAAATGTTTTCCTAACCAATTGCCCATAATACCTTAGTCAGTAAATGAGAAAGCTAACTGGCCTGTTTTCTACGTCTGGTTCCCTGTGGATCTGCAAAAAAATCCTGCTTGGCTGTCTACAAGTCAAATGCTGCAGTTACATCATCTGCCCATAACAATGTAAGGATACTGCAGAACAAATGAAAGGAGAAGGAGGAGCAAGAGTTGCTCTCTCTTACACCTCTGTGCTTGGTGGCAGTGCCACATAACCTATCAACACTGTAAATCACAATTATATATGTTTTTTAAAAGTGAAGAATTTTTTCTTTTGACCATCTAATGCACATGACACAGGAATATCACCAATAAGCCTCACATTCACAAGTAAGCTGTATTCAGATATGCTACACTGAAATCGCAAATATTGCAGATTAGGAATCTGTCAATTGATGGATGAACTATGTCCAGCTGTTTTAAATGTATCTTTTCTACTTGTGTTAAGATAGTTCCTTCCTCTTCAACTGAATTAAAGCCCCATGACAGAACTTTATAAAAGAGCCTGGCAGAGATGATTTGTTGGAATTAGCACTTTTAACTCTCACCGTAATAAATGTCTCACTGCTGCATCAAACTGTAGAAACGTAACTTCTCTTTGAATGATTAGCAGTTGGGCTACTTTGTTAGGATCCAAGGGGTTCTGAAGGCTGTCAATCATTTTTTGTAGCTCTTGAAGTTCAGTTTCTATAGTTTCCAAGACAACAATAAATCCATCAAATTAGGCAACAGGAAATGCATGCTAATATGTATGGGGAAAATCATCTATTTTAACCCAAGTCTCTTTTTTTGTCACCATGAGAACTGTACTTCTGGAACAAAAATGTTTTTCTCATCTTCGCACATTATTGTCCACAAAAACAGGCTGTAGGGAAGAAGTTATGGCAACTGAAGGATTATGGGGACATAGTCTGGGCAGGAAGAGAGACAGAAAGGCATAAGGAATAAAAAGTATTCCTCTTAAAAGAGTAAGATGTTTTAAGATGTTCTAAGCCTCTTAAAAGAATGGCTCTATTAGCATTCTCATGTATATCAGAAATTGTTATCACCAATGAGAAAAAAAGGTTGATTTAGTCCTTCTCCTACTGAGGTCAATTGTAATTTTGCCAATGACAAGATTCTGGGAATAGGATCTGGCTCTGTGCTTTTAGATTATTCACCCTGGTCATCCCAACTCAGAATTAATTTATGGCCCTGCTCCAAAAACATTGTTCTACATAGAAGCTGGGCCATCAGCAGCTATACAAAGTGTCATGAGCAGCAACAGGAATTTGTAGTCTGCCATGTCCGTGTCCTCCCTGTCTTCTTCCTCCTGCATCTAATGCTCTGTCAGGTGCTTTTGGTGGACCAGAAAATGCCACTGATACATCCACTTGCATCTTATGGAAGCTCTGCCTGTTTTCTGACCCAAGACTGAAAGTGCCATGGCACTTTATGCAACTGCTTTACTAAAAGACAAAATCCTGCTTTTTTAATCCGTTGGTCAAAGACAAAATTATTATGAGCTAACCAAGCAAGCTGTAGCAACATTCTCTGGCAAGCAGGAGGCCAGATGCAATGTTTTTGCCTACCTTGCTTGGTAGGTATTGAGTGCTGCAGGAGGCGACAGCCCTTATCCTTTGATATGGTGCATTGCAGTATTCTGGCAGTCTATCATCAGTGAAAGTAAGGGAGTGCAAAAAATAAGAATTGGACTTTCTAATAACTTCACACTCTAGTTCAACATGTGCCATCTTTCAGATATCTTTGTCTTTCCTTCTCTCTTGGAATTTTTCACATATTTGTAATTGTTATCAAATAAATCTGCATGAAATATCCTGTTTACAAACAGAATAAATCATTCAGATTAATCAGACCAAAATCATGCAAACATAATCCACATCAAATTGTCATAGTATCATGGAGGGTGGGCCCTTTATATGATAAAAATCAAAACATAATTCTTTAAACTAGCACTGTGAATGTTTTGTTCTAAAGCTGGACACAGACTCTAAAATGCCCATCTCCTGCAATGATGCATTACTTCACAAGAACAAAGTCTCTCACCGAGGAGCTGAAGAATTTAAGCTGTGGTAAAAAGGAAGCACTATTTTTACACTGGCCATGTATGTGTTCTGAGATGTTTTTCCACTGTAGAATGGGGTTTTGGGATATGTGTAAAACATTTTCAATAACTGTTGAACAATCCACACTGTTCCTCTTTCCATAACTGGTGATGCTCAAGCAAGGATAAGAATGGAGATAAAGCATTATGGTGCTACTTCTCAGTTAGAGGAAAGTTTCTGGGCTGGTGAGAGATCAAGCCTCTGTGTTAGAAACAAGAGGAGGTTTTAGGCCAAAGAACAAAGTAAAGCCAATAAGTCACTACGGTATTCACTTAACATAGCTGCTTCCTGCATGCATGTGAAGTGATGTCTTCTGACTGTAAAGCCAGACTGATATTCTACTACTTTTTACTTGCATTAAAACTGCAGAGCTCACAGGAAGAGAGCTGGATCATAGTCTGCCACATGCATCATCATTAGAATTATTAACTGTCAGTAGCAGAATATCTAAGCTAGAGTCCCCTGATTTGCACCAGTATAAGCCAGACGAAATTTCATGGATGTCAGACACAAACCACTCTGACATCAGTTTGAAAGGAAAATCTCCTGGTGGTAGTGCTGAGTAATCCAGAAAGATTTTAGTTTGCCTTTTGGATTCTAGTCTGACTTCACAGCACTGGCAGCTGGGAAAGTTACCTTCTCACTTGTAAACTGAGCAGATTGGATCAAAAGTTACTTGGGCACATTTTTGCACAGATGATGCCATATTTACAGAAAGACTTTTCAGTGAAGAATCTCATTTTACAAGATCTATGGCATGGTTGCAAGGCTGGTTCTTAAGGTGTTAGGATACATACCAAGGTAGAGTGAAGGGTAAGGAGATGATTTCTTGGACAACAAAGAAGGGTCTCAGTTAAAGCCTGTAGATTGGAAGGTAAAGAAGCTTGGGACTATCTGCCTGAGGCTTCTCCTCTTATCTTTTCCCCAGGAAGAACTGCAATCCTCGTGCCATTCCATAATACCATGTGACATCACCAAAACAAAAAAAACCCAACCCCCAACCAAACAGGCTTTATTATCCTGAATTTTAGAGGTGCTAGCTGTAAAAGGCCTTGTGCTTGTGTCAGGATAATTATGCACACTGCCTTTGTGGATTTTTCTTCATGAATAAGGCCATGTAGCCATTTCATCTTACTCTGTTTAATATAGAATTCTATTGTATTATATTGTGCAGCACAGCCTGTCCGACTTTCTTGTTTCTGACCAACACCTATTTATCATATAGCAGCCAAATCCTCCTGAATTAACCAGTGCACTTTCCTGTAATCTCTGGCTTTGGGGATATTATTGTGCTAATATTTGCTCTTGACTGGGATTGAAAGACTGACACACCACACACCTCCGGACATTATCAGGAGTTTGTGTTAATTAATGGCATCTGCTGTTCACTGGCTCTGAGGCCATATAAGTTCAACCCCATCAGCAGAAACATCATTTCACATTGTGGGAGACACATGACAGGAAAACAATTTGGCCATCCCAAAAGATTTTAAAACGTAATTATTGCTTATTCTGAAATTAGATTTATATAACCTGTATGGTAGGAGGAGGAGGAACATCTAAGTAATCAAAAGTACAGGATTGGTAGACAGATGTGCTTTTTCTGGCTCTGCCACAGAGTTGTTTTGTCTCTTGGGCAGGATACTTAATTCCCTTGATACTTCGGTTTTTTCATCTGTAAAATGGGAATAATGCTACTAACCTACTTTACGGAAGTGTTAGTAAGGTCACATTCATTCATGTTTATAAGAGACTTTGAGATCACAAAATGTTGTAGTGGAAAGTACAGAAGGCATTTGATATTAGGACAATTTAACGGCTTTAAATTTTGATATGTAAAAATATGGGGTGGGCAAAAAAGGTATTTTCTGGCACTAATACTACATATTTAGGGTAAAAGGCAACATTTTAGTCAGCAAGTGTCTCCTTTTTTGGTTGAAAGATTTTCTGAGCCTGCTCTGACCACTGATGGTGATTTATTTGTTTCTTACCAATCCTTTCGTTCCCTCCCCAGTCTGCAGTCAGAGGCTCTGGATTTAGGGAATCAAAACAGTTTTGGGAGTTTCCTAATTGAGCAAAGCTGAAGAGGTAGGAAACTATGTCATGAAGTGATGCCACAATCTGCAGACTCTGCCTAAGTGCTCTGTAAGCAGCCTGCAGATAAAACAAACATTGGGAGAATGATAGACAGAAAATGTAAAGAAAATACATAACAAGAACATATATTTATGTATCTTCATTATTGATTATTGGTACCTTGAGGCCAATGGGGCCAATGCTAGACAAACATAGAAGAGAAGACTGCCTCTTCCTTGAAGAGCTTACAATTTACAATGTTAGATTATACTACTTAATTTTTAGGGCACCAAGAGTCTTCAATGAGTGTCTTTTTGTACTGTTTCTATTTAAATAGCTTTTGCCCCCATGAAAAAGATAACTAGATCAAGAGCAAATAAGAAATTTGTCAGAAGCACAGAATTTGTGTTTTCCCTCCTCACATTTCAAACCCCCACTTTCCTCTTAGCCCCACTGCTTCAGCCAACAGAGAAAGGCAACAAAAATGATTAGGGTTTGGAATGGGTCCTATATGAAGAGAGATTAAAAAGACTGGGACTTTTCAGCTTAGAAAAGAGGAGACGAGGGTATAGCACAGTCAATCTGTGGAACTCCTTGCCAGAGGATGTTGTGAAGACCAGGACTTTAACAGAGTTCAAAAAAGAACTAGATAAATTCATGGAGATTAGGTCCATCAAAGGCTTTTAGCCCGGATGGGTAGGAATGGTGTTCCTAGCTTCTGCTTGTCAGTGCCTGAGAATGGAGCACAGGAGAGGGATCTGTTCTGTGATTATCTGTTCTTTTCACTCTCTCTGGGGCATCTGGCATTGGCCACTCTTGGAAGACAGGATATTGGGCTAGATGGACCTTGGGTCTTACCCAATATGGCCGTTCTTATGTACTTAGCTGCCTCTCCTCACTCCAAGTGCCCTCCTTCCTCCTACATGGTCTCCCCTCAGTCCCACAGGGGAGAGGTAAGTTTTCAATAGTATGTTCAAAAGTCATGCATGCTGTTCCCTGCTATTTCCCTATGCATTTGGAGTCATGGAAGGAGACAGGGGATGGGGGAGGGAGATCTTTGCACAGCAGGGGAAAGTTTGGGGGCATGCAGGTTTGTCAATAGGCAGAGAGGATACAACAGGCTGGTTTCAGTAAAGATCCAAACTAACCTGCATTACTTTTCAATCTTTTTATCCTTTGCTTCTGTGTCTCAGACACAGGTTACCACCTTTTTTTTTCAGAAAAAAAGATTACTTTTTTCAGAAAAACTCCGAAAACACATCTGAAGAAGTGGGCTCTGCCCACGAAAGCTCATACCACCATCTACATGTTTTGTTAGTCTATTTGTTGTTTTTTAAGTTTTTCACCTTTTTTATTAATGCCTGTTACCAGACACACCGCTTTACATGCTAAGTGAAGTGGATATTCTAAACAACACACTGCAGTTTGTGTATCTCCCAGTGCTAGTAATCTCTAAAGACAAACAACATTTCAGGGTGTATGAGAAATGTGGTCTGTCCTCCAGATTCATCTATATGTGTTGATTAAGAAAACAAATTCTCTCTTAAGATTTGTAAATACCAACCTTTTCTGGCAGCATTTTAAACATAATCAGCACCTCAAAAGGGTGAGGAATGAACCACAAATTGAGGAAGACTTGCCCATCTGGAGACAACAAACAACGTGGTCGTGGCTGAAATGACCTGAGTTATATGGAGAAATGATAAGATTCCTGTCACTTTGGAAAGTTACAACCAAATAAAAGTCTCTGAAATAGTTTTTAAAACCTAAGTATTACAATGTATCATTTAAAACCTGGGCAAAAAGAAACCCTCTTGTTAACTCAGGCAAAAATGTCATTTGATTTTGAGATTTATCTCCCAAAATTTGGAACAGCTAGAAGTAAACAAATTTCAGAGATCAAATGACTGCTAAAGCCTAGATTCAAAAGCCCATTAAATCTTTCCTTTGATTTCAGTGTCTTTCAATAAGGCCTTATAGTGTGCCAATCTAGAAGACCAGAATGCTCAGCAAAAAGCTTCTTTGAACCAAATACACAACTGTTACTTATACCAAATGGCCTCGCTTAATTAGAATGATGCTGTTTATTCAAAAATAATAAGCCAGGGGCCAATGAAAGAGCAACACAAGACAAAAGGGACAAAAAATAATTATGAGAGCTGGATGCCCATTCATGCAAGGTGCTAAATGGCACCTATATTCATTGACTTTCATGAACTGAAGATATCTGACCCCTCACAAGAGGTACTTTGTAAGATTAGCCCCTTGATTCTTAGGCAAAAGTGGCAAACTTATTCAGCCTTGGCATAAGATGGCATTGTCTTGCCTCGTGGCTGTTTCTGTCTGTCTTGGAAACAACACAGACAGGCTCAAAGGAGTCACACCCAGCCTGGTTTGTAAGGAGTTGGCCCAACGTGGTGATGAAATGTTATAACCTGGAAGAACCATCAGAGAGCCTCAAGGTTCTATGATCCACCTTCCCTTGGTAAACAAGAAAGGTAAAACTTGGATAATGTAACTTCCTTCTTCCAGAGTAATAGGTAGTGCTACAACAGTGAATAAGAATTAAAAGCCTATAAAGCCTATTTTCTAAAATTCCTATCCAACTTTCAGTAGGCAGCCCCACCTTCATCTCACATGTTTAACTCCAAAGTTAGAGCATGCATAAATAATTGTTTTGTTTTTCCACATAAACAAAATAGTCATTTCTTGTCTCAATACACATGTAAATGAATTACAATATTGAACTAATTTAGTCTCAGATGAGAGGTTTTAAACTCAGTGAGGGGTTTACATTTGATTTACATCAAAGTGAGTTTATACTTATTAATTATTATTGTGATTAAAGAGAGAGGTCAAACAAAAAGAACAAGTAGCATCTGTTTGGGGGTGGAGTAATGAACGGCTAACTTCAGTGTGCTGTAAATGAGAGAATTACCTTTGGGTAGGATTTGTTTAACCAGGTGTTCATTTCCTACTTTGCATAAGGAACGATAAGAACAAACTGTACATGAGGAAACTGCACTTTATCAGGTGACATTGCTATTTACTTGCTTTATCTGTTTCTCCCATTTTACACCATTTTCTGGAAGCATATCAGCAGGGAGAGACTACGTACAACAGCTGCAGTTCATCACAAGCAATGCTCTCCGTAGTGAGCATGCTTTCGTAACATGGATGTCTGTAAATTTAGTCTCTCCATCGAAGGGGTCAGTTTCCCCCTCTGCAACGCACACATAGCTCCATGTAATTTTAAATTGTGTTTTCTCCATGGTTGTGTTAAGGAAACAATGCCGTGCCCCAAGAGGTCAGGGTCATTTAGCTCTGCAGTAGTGTGGTATGTTAATTTTCAGAAAGAAAAAAAAGACATTCACATAGCATCCAAATGAAGCCATTTGCCCTGAAGATACCTACGAAATTATTCAGAACTGAATCCTTATCAGTCATCCTAGCCCCTCCCCTGCCCACATGCACACAAACACAACAGAAGGAGCCAAAGCACAGTTTAAGCTTAGATTAAAAATACTAGGTAAAACAGACTTTCTATAATATAAACAAATATCAATGTTTCCCCTTCCCCCTTCTTTCTTTGCCTTCGTACAGTAGTTGTCATAAAATTATTTTTAAAGAGACAAGTTGGATGAGGTAATATCTTTTATTGGACTAATTTCTGTTGGAGAGAGAGAAGCTTTTCAGGCACACAGAGCTCGCATTCAGGTCTGGGAAAAATTATTCAGCGCTTAATGTTTGACTATCTTAGATAAATTAACAGAATTATCTAAGCATTTGTGCATTTCCTGTATTTTAACAGGGAATACTGCTAATACTCAGGTTAACATAATCCAGTTACTAAAGGCAAAACTGTAAAGACTGAGGGTAATCACTTAATTATCCTTTTTTTATGCCACCTGCTCCAGGGACTCTCTAAAGTTAATAGGAGTCTCCACTGATTTTAATGTGGTTTAGGATCAGGCCATTTGACATCTTTCCTTCAGGTATTTTTTCCCAATTTTTATCACTTTGGACTAATTGTTCTATAGTTTTTCATTTTTCTCTCTGAAACCCTCTTGACTCTTAGGGAATTCTGTGCCAAAAAAATAAAAATCCTGCACACAATATTTTAAAATTCTGCAAAATTCTGCAAATTTTATCAAAATGGCACTATGTATACATGCCAATTATTTTGGTAATTTATTTCAAATATTTGTCAGCAACTATGTCTGTAACAGTATGGACAATAACAAAAAATTCTCATAGGAACAGAGTGTTAACGAAACCCCTCTAACAACCCAGTTTCTGTTTCTCTGCCCTCTTCTCTCCTAGACACTCCTCTTTCCAACTCAGACATCCATACCCCCTCCTTCCCAATGCCCAGTTGCATGGACTCCTGACCCAGACATCCACACCCTCTCTCTCCAAGAGCCTCATTGCAGGGATCTCCTGGTTCAGACATCCGCAGTCCCTCTTCTTTCTCCTAGAGCCTAGCCGAGGGGCACTGCCAGCCCTGACACTCACACTCCCTCTCCTCCATAATTTAACTGTACCCCCTCCATGCCTGCACTGACATCCCCATTCCTGCCCCCACCCAAGCAGAGATCCAGAGGGAAAAACAGCCTGATGTTTGGTCCCAGGTTTGTATGGAGTTTCTTGTATGCCACTGCCTTCTTTCAGGGCATGGCAGGAACTGCAGCTGCTAGGAACCTTCTAACTGCATCCCACTGCCCCTAGCAGTACCTTCTATTTGCAAATGGGGGAGCCGGGCTCTGGTGTGTCCAGTGGCCCCTACTGGCATTCAGCAGCTCTTCAACACCAATTCTTCAGGGAAAAGGAAATTCTACATGGAAGAGGAGGTTATTTACCTGTAACTGAAGGTTCTTTGAGATATGTGGTCCCTATTTGTATTCCGTGTGCTGGAGCAGCAAGTCTTTCAGCAGCAACGTCTGTTGGGTTGCTTTACATCACAACATGTTCCATGCAAGGTTGTAAGAGGCACTTTCAGTCTCTCTATTACTGCAGCAGAGAGTATCCGCATCAAAGGGCAAGGCAGTCAGGTATTGGAATGCAAAGAGTGACCACACATCTCAAATAACCTCCAGTGACAAGTAATTAATTTCTCCTTCTTCTTATGATGGTCCCCATACATACCGTATTTTCCGGCGTATAAGGCGACTGGGCGTATAAGACGACCCCCTAATTTTCTAGTTAAAAGATAGGTTTTCATCTTATACTTGCCGTATAAGACATATTTTGAACAGTCAATTTACCCATGGAAAATGAATGTAAAAAATGGTCATGGATTAACATTAACTACATGCAGCAAGAGAGAAAAAGAAATGGCTTTAAAAGGAAGCCTACATTGTGATAGGTAAACAGAAAAACATGGGCTGGCTCACATCAGTGGAAACACTATCAGAAGAAAGAGAATTAGGAGGTAATTTCCCATGCCCCCGACCTTGTATATAAAATACCCACTATTTCTCATCTACAGAAAGCAGTGAACAGCAAGGAGGTTAGCAGAAAGAGAAAATAAGGGTCTTTTTCCTACTAGTTTTTATCCTATGGACCAACACAGGAATGTACTTACAAAATTCAGAGCCATCCATAAGAGCACCATCCACTGCCCAAAACCATTGCCATGCCCCATTGATTTTCCCAAGGCACTTGTGTGCTACGGTGTGACAGCAAAGCCATCTGGAGACCAAAACTTTAGATGACTTTTAAATTTTGTATTTTAGGTGACAAAAAACATCCAGTGCTGAATTTTAATCCTGCAATTTAATGTAGTTTAATCTGATTTAGATATCATTTAGAAGCCCTGTGGATACCAGCAATGTATCAGACATTTGCTTGTGGCTGCTTTGGACCATGGCAAGAGGAAAATGCAAATTCTTGACTAGAGTGAACAAGAGTACAGAAGAACCTCCTATAAGAGATTTTCAATCTACCCTCTTCATCTTTATGCTGATACATGAAATATAGACATGTTTACTTCTTGGTCTTGAATAATTGCTTTATGACCTGCCTAAGCCTCCTGTTGTTGCTGCTGCCTTGCTGGTTCAATTAATTGTTCAGGTTTGTATTTAGACAGCTAATATTTACTGACTGTTCATGAGTAAAAACTAGCCCAGAAACAGACGCAGTAGTAATTGAATGATTTATTTCTGAAAGGAGACATGTGTAAACTATATGCATAGTCACTGACTTTCTAAAGAAAAAAGCCAGAACAATTTTAGACAGTAAAATAATTCTAAGTTTTTGGAAGACCAGGCCATACTAACAGGGGGAATAAGCAAGTCTGGGAGTCATGGCAACAGCAACTTGTATTACATTGCAGGCAAATGATTGGGAAATGACTTCAAGATTAGAGCTGTTCAGAGAAAGAATTGGTTTTTTTTCGAAGGACACTGACATTTCAAAATGTGGTTTCATTCTGATTAGGACTGAAATCCCAACATTGTGAACATCTCTAGGAAAAGGATGGAGCCCCCGTTTCAGGCCAATCCAGCTGATGGGCTGCAATGGAGCTACAAGCTCTGATAGAAATCTCCCTGGATTCCATTAGAACTATGGCATCTCTGCAAAAGGTTCAGATTTTGCAGACTCAGCTATTTCTGAGAAAACAATGTTTTATCAGAACTCTTTGAACCAGCTCTGTTCAGGATACCAATTCCAGTGAGCTAACAGTGCTCAGGTATGTGATGGGGAATAATGGGTTTAAATCAGATGTGCAAAAGAGTGTAAGTTACATATGGGTAAACAAGTCTACTTTGTTGTAACTTACATGCTTCAGGGGATAAGACATCAACAAAGCTTCTCTTCCCTTTAATGTGGGGGAAAGGAAATATGAGTGTGTTGGAAAACCTGCTCCTGGCTCTGGCTGACATTCAGAAGCACTGACATGTACTAGCCACAGAGATGTGCAAACTACTGAAGCACAAAGCACCCTGTTAGCCCATGGCACCCCAACAGAACTCAAAGTGCAAGGACTGAAAATGGTGACAATGAACTATGTTTTTCCTTTTCTTTTTAACAGTGAAATAAAATGAGTTATAAGAGTGTCCTAGGAAAAGGGATGAGCATCAGGTGCCTCCCAGTAGGAAGGCATCAGAAAGCCTGTTGCACCATGGAATATATCTGCAAGAAATAAGAATCTTAATCATCCGTAACACAGATAATGCATCAGAAAAACCAAACTGGAGGAAAGAAAGGCAATGCTGAAGTACTCTGTATTTTCTGCCTTCTTCCCATTCCTTCATTAAACAAAAATAAAGATTGGATATTCCTAAAGATTTCAGAAGCCTTTGAGAGGGAAATAAGGTTCTGTCATGTTTGTGGCTGAATTATATATCACTAGCAGACTCACCCAACATTTGTCCAGGTCCTTCAGGGTAGGGGTCTGGCAGTGTGGGGGGGGGTGCAGGACTCAGGGCCTTGAGGATGTGTGTGTGGGGGGGGAGTGAGTGCAGGAGACTGGGGAAGAAGAACAGTGCAAGAGTGAGGGTTGGAAGGTAAGGATGGGCTCAGGGCAGGGGGATCCCATCCAGAATGGGCCTCTTCTCTTTCCCCTCCCCCCCTTCCCCACCTGCCAGGGGCCTTAAGGTTGCTAGGTGTCCGGTATTGAACCAGACAGTTCGGTATTTTTCGCCTCGAGTGTGTCTAGATTACATGGCTCAGTCGACAGAGCCATGTAAAGTAGTTTACTCAACATAGTCAATGAAGCAGGGATTTAAATAATCCCCGCTTCATTAAAATAAAAATGGCCACCGCACTGTGCCAACAATCAGCTGATACAGCACAGCACGGCAGTCTAGACATGGCGCAGTCGACACGGGAAGCCTTTGTCAACCGCTTCGGTATGCCTCGTGAAACCAGAGCGGCCACTGGCAGCCTGTTAGGGCCAAAAATCCTCAAAAGCATTTCTAAAAGAGGCCACACTTGGTTTTTTTGGTTGGCTGGATTTTTTGTGTTCCTCTTTTTTTTTTTTCTTTCCAGAAACCATCTGGCAACCCTAGAGGCCTCTTCTCCCACCAACCCGGCCACCAGGGGTCTTTTTTCCCCCCAAACTCCCTTTTAGGCCACCAGGAGCCTTTCTGCCCCCACCCGCCATCCCAACCTCCTCCCCTGCCACCAGGGGTCTTTTTTCTACCTCCAGACCCTTCCCCTTGGCTTGCAGAGGCCTTCCCCCAACCCTCTGGTGCTGTGGCCATGGGCCATTTGGGAAAGGGTTTGGGGCAGGGATGCTGCTTGGTGTGCTGGCAGGCAAGATGGTAGAGCCCCACCCCTGCTGGCCACTTCCTTGGTGGTACAGCTGCCCCCAGTGGACACTCTTCAGGATAGCTCTCCCCTGCAGAATTGCTGCTCCAAAGGACACTCTCATATCACATCCCTCCAAATAGCAGCCCCTCTCTTTGCATGTTATGGAAAACAGTCCTCTTCCCAGGACTTCCAATTGTCCTGGCACAACCAAACCCTGACCTTGCTTAAGTTAGGAGAAGAGGAAGCTGCATATCAAGTTTGGTGGTCCTAGTTCTTACCATTTAGGAGGAGTTCTTGAACAAATGGACTTGCAGACAGATAGACAGATAGATTCATTCATTCGGGGAACCTGAAGCCTGGGCATATATACTAATGATTGAGAACCACTAACAGAAATTATTCTTGCTGAATCTGAAAAGAAAAATGGATTTTCCTATTTCATTTCCACCCTATCAAAAAACCCTTCATTTTTTAAAAAACTGTTTATTTTATTTACCAGCTTTGTTATGGTGAAGTACAGGTTGTACCTCAATTGTCCAGCACCCTTGGGACTAAAATAGTCCCAAACCAGGGAATTTGCCGGACCAAAGGAGGTCAATGTAGCAGAGGCTCTGCTTTTCCCCTGGTCACCCAGGGGTTCTGCTTTTCCCCAGGCAGCTCCATGGCCACCAGGGCTCTGCTTTCCCCACAACTTGGGGGAAGAGGGGACTCTACTCCCACAGGCTTCACTGTAGCCCAAGCTCCTCTCTTCCCAAAGTGGCCAGGAACTCCAATGCAGTCCAGAGCTCCACTCTGCTCAGCGTCTCTGCATTCTCCACGCCCCCTCCCCCCAGCACCTTGCTGCCACCTGGGGCTTCACGCTGCACCAAGCAGCTTTGCTGCTGCCCAGTGGGCTCCATCAAGCAGCCCCACTGCACGGGAGCTCCACGCTCCAACCAATGGCTCTGCTGCCACTCAGGGGGCTCTGTGTTCCTCACAGCGGCTCTGTGCTCTCTACCCCAGCATCTTGCTATGGCCCAGGGGTCTCTGTGCTCCTCTCCAGCAGACATGCTGGTGACCTCCCTCCCTCCCCCACAGAGACCAGGGGCTCTGTGTTTCTCCTAGTGATTCTGCTGCTCCCAGAGCTCCATCTCGGCCCTCTAATTTGGCAACATTCCTGGCCTCAGCCCAACAGCTTATCCTGTGAGTGCTCACACGGATGCTGCCAGACCAGGGATGTTGCCGGACAAGGGAAGCCAGAAATAGGGAGTTTCAATCTGTTGTATAATTTAAAAGTAAATAACATGGCTTGTGCTCAGGATACTGGCTGCAAAAGAAGTGAAATAGAAGTGCGAGTTGTGAAAAGAGAATGTACCGTGGGTGGATCATCAGCCACAGAATAAAATTATGGACAACTATGTGGGGGGATGGAAAACTTAAAAAAAAAAGGAACATTCACAGAGTATCTTTTATTCTGAAGGATTTCTGTGTATTTAAAAAAAATTAAATTATCTACAAGGGGTCACTTAACCCATCAGTGAAATGCATCTCTGTAAGGGTAAAACACAACAGTTGTGTAATAGCATGGAGCAACAGTTCAGGAGATGATGGTAAATCAGCTACTGAATACTGTACTTTAAATGCAGAATTAAAACGTTGTCAAGCAAGAGGATGGAAAGCAATGACAACCATGTGACTCTGGGATGGTTTGTTCATTCTTTGACAATTTGAGTTATTTTCTCATTCAAGATAATATCACAACTGTACATCTATTTGTAGAAGGCAAGATGACAGAGAGGAGATATGAGTTGATGGTGCTGTTACATGATGGAAATATCCCCTTCCTAAAAGATCACAGATGTCAAGACCAGAAGAGAGCACTAAGATCAACTGGAGCAACTTCCTGAACAGCACAGGCCATAGGATTTCCTCCAGTGATTCCTGCACATTTAATTCCTCGTGCTCTTTACTGTATTTTTCCAGCCCATTCTTGGTCACCGGATCAACTAATGTGCATTAAATGAATCACAGGTAACATATTTGAAAAGAATTGCTAGAGTCCTTTTGTATTGTAAACTGTTAGCTAACTGATCACTATCAGCGCTTGCACATGACATTAGCTCCTAACTGTGGGGTTAGGGAAATGAAAAGCTGCTGACCTTTATGTCCATTGTTTGTGTAGGCTGGATCATATGACAAAATGAGGCTTACTGAACAGCAACAATAAGAGCATTTTTTTTGAGTGACTTGACAGGCAAGGGTGATTTGCATGTTCTCCACTGCAGACGGGGACAACAACTAAAGGATGAAAACACAAAAATTATTGGCAATTTCCCCTAAATGTAAACACAGGTCACAGAGATCACGCTAATTTTTTCTTGCCTTAATTAATCTCCGGAAGTAGCATTAATCATTCTGCTATTGATTCATACTTATTTAACTGTGGCTAAAGGCTGAAGTCACTTCACTTGAAATTCTATACAACAGGATATGATACAGAGGGATGCCATAGGTTCATATAAAGTGTGACTAGGATATTGATTGTTTTTGTTTTGGTATTTGAGATGGAATTTTAATTATATATCATCTTGGTAAAGAGCATGGGCCATGTCTGGGGAAATTGTGGAAAGAAGTTCTGAAGGACTGGGAAAGTTCTATGGCATGACACTTTGCAACATATAATTTTGTTCCTACTTTTTTAACAGTACCCATTGTTTTAATGCAAGGGTGCACAAAAAAAATCACAGAATCTGTTACTTGGAAATAATGTAGGAAATGAGAGATTCACTTTCTTTTCTCCTTGGGGAAAAGAAACCCTTTTCTGCATTGAACTTAACATAACATAAAACATAGCACACTGCACACCCCACCACAACGTAACATAATTTTCTGATTTGTTTATTTTTTACTTAGCAGACCACACAACTTTGGAAAAATTCCCATTGACTTCAAGAGAATTCTGTCTCAGTAAATATATTTAGATTGGGCCTGCAGTTATTATACAAAGGCTTTGCTTGATATTATCAAGTGATAGTTTGGAAACGTGAACAAAATTACACTGTTACATGCAGAAATACAAAATAATAAAACATGGTAAGAGAAATGTACACTGCCTAACACAATGAAGCCCCAGTTAGTTGAGGCCTTTAAATACTATTGTAACATACTTGTTAAAATAATCATGTGCATTGTATGATTTTGGTTTCCATTGGAAATAAAATAAACTATTTACCTGAATAAAGCCATCTCTTGTATTAAAGGTAAATTTTCCAATTTGATTATTGTCAATCTCTTGGATGCTTAACAATAAAGTAGACGGAATATATCTGCAAGAAAAAAATCATAATAATTGGAAACACAGAGAATGCATTGAAGAAACCAAACTGAAGGAAAGAAAGGTAATGCTGATGTGTTCTGTGATTTCTGCTTTCTTCCCACATGTAATTCTTCTTTAAAGAATGAAAAAATTCCTTTAAACAAAATTAAGATTAGGGTATTACTAAATATTTCAGAAACATTTGAGAGAGAAATAGGATTCTGTGAAATCTGTGGGTGACCACACAGAGAACCATGAATTCTTCCCCATTTGGCTTTAGGAGTTGGGTTACCAAGTGAAAAATCTACTTGTCCACTTAAATCAAGCATCATTTAAAATACTAGTTCCTAACATTTTGAGAACCAGACTATGACATCAGTCTTAACAGACAGTGCCTGCCACTGCCCAGAATTCAAGTTTGCACATTCTATCCTTGAGATTCAGATGCTTGCAACTATATGTTTGGAGCAGTCCAGTCTCCAGTGTGGATTAGAGAATAAATCACTTCTCACCTCCCAGTTAATTGTATATCATTCAGATGGGGAGGAAAATCTGAAGCTTGGGCACAAATACTAATGACTGAGAGCCACTGATAAAAATATCATTGCTGACTATGGAAAGAAAAATGGATTGTCCTACTATAATTCCATCCCATCAAAAAGTCCTTGATTTAAAAAAAATTTTGTTTTATGTATTAGCTTTGTAATGGTGAGATCAAAACAACTGCAATATTTTCCAGACCTGAAACATGCATGGTTGCATAAAGAAAGAAAGGAAAAGACACAAGAAGTCTCTTCTTCATGCAGGGATTTATCCGGTTGCAATCATAGGCTAAGATTTGAAGTTGTTTCATATAGAATAGGACAAACGTTGGAGAATGATTTCTGTAATCCAACAACTTTACATTCACATTTATGGACTAACTAATAATTGTTTTTTAGAGTCTCATTTCACTATTTGTAGAAGTCTGGGAACCACTCTCTTTCTCCCTTGATCCCAACTCTCAAAATATCCCTCATTTTGAGAGAGCTCATCCATTTTATGTCCAAAATGACTTAGGGTTCCACACAAATGTGGTGCCCCCTTTTATTACTGCACATCTTTACAGTAGAAATACAGAAGACGTTACTTATGGCTAAGGAATCAAATTACACAACATTTCAAGTTTCCTGTGTGAATAATGTGAGTACGCCTTTCACTTATGATGGGGCTTATTAGACTGATGAATATGCTTGGTTATGATCTGTCTGGAAAGGTATTTAATGACACTATGTCTTGTGAAATAGGACAAAGGTCTAGTTTACCTGTTCACACTACTGTCATCTTCCAGGAGAGCTATAATGAATATTGGTGGGGATTGGTCTGCTTTCTCCTTGTGAGATGCAAATTCAAAGTGCACTGGTTTCAAGTATAAATGGAACTCATCAAAACCCATCTGCCTTGTACATCCTGAAACAAAAAATAGGACTATTAGATACAGTTGTTTCATTTTTTTTAAATGCTTTGTACTGCCGTAAATAATACAGACCTAGAAATCCATTATCTTTTGTATACATGTTTAGTATGTATGAAGAAGCTTAGAAGCCCCATTCTAAATCAGAGCAAGGCATCCAGCAGTACTAGGCCAAGGAGGCCCTGCTCTATATAATGGATCAGTTTAAAAAGGCACTATCAGCCTAGTGAGATGGGGGAAGGAGTTACAGGCTATACCTGGAGCTCTAGGCAGAGTGAATACAGCCTTAGAAATGTCATTCTATGGACAGTGATCCATACTCCCCACCTCCACCCCTTGGGGACAAAAGCCCACTAGAGGCCCTGAAGAAAAGGATGTTGTCCCCCAGCAAATGAAGCAGATACTAGAATGACTGAGACCATGATCCAGAAAAAAGGAGCCACGGCCCAATAGGAAGTGAGCAGGGCGGGGGTTAACTTGGGATGGACCAATGAATGGTCAGAACACTGCAACACGACTTAGTGCCTTGGGACACAATGGAGACTGCTGTATACAACCCAACAGGGCTCCCTCCAGGACAGGCAGTCTGAAAAGAACCATGAAGCCGCTGCTTCAGCATTAGGCCAGCAGGTATCCTACTGACTTGCTACAGTATGATACTTCTCTGTAAATTGTAATGCTACTTGCAGCTGGCATGGCGCCAATTACACCAGAACAAATACTGCTCATTGTGCCACTAATATTCATTATTTGATTAGCCCTGACCATCTGATTGTCACTTACAATACACAAAATAAAGGACAAAAAGTGCAATGTTTGAGAGAAAGTTTGTGAGAGATTCAAAGAGGAGTGTAAAACAGTCAGCCTGACATACAAAGAGGAGAATTTTGTCAGCCATGTTTTGAATGAACTGGAGGATAGTACTTCAGAAGAGGTATGGGCAATGGAGGAAATTATAGTAGTTAAGACAGAAGATTATCAGACCCTGAACAAGCATTTTTACCATTCGAACAGAAAATGTGTGAAAGTTGTGTTGCAGAAATCCTTAGTTCAGCCCAATTAAACACATTATAACAATATAGTAGGAGACAAGGAAGAAGATGATCCCATATGACCATAAGAAGGTTGGATGTTTGGATACAGGGTGGCAGAGAAATAAGATAACTACACTTCCTTTTGTCATAACAGTAGGTCTCTGAGGAAGACAAGTGTTATGCCTATTTTATAAATAGCTAAGCCAAGTCACAGATGAGCTAATTAGGCTATGTTATACATTACAGACCCTACAGTGGCATAGCTAGTCTAGCATAGACATAGCCTTAGTGAATAAGTGGCAAAGCCACATATAGGGCCCAGAAGTCCTAACTCTCCCTGTTTCTGTGGGATTAGAAAAAAAATGAAATAAAAGAAGAAAGAAAAGGACAGGCAGAAAGGGTGTCACATCTGGGAACATTAAAAAGCACCAAACACATCAATCAACACTATGTAGGAAGTGTAGAATAAAAGAATTCAGGTAAAAAAAAAGGGCTTGGCACATTTATGCTTTGACAAGGTCCCTCACCAAAGGCTCTTGTGTAAATTACATTCCCATGGGATAAGAGGGAAGGTCCTTTCATGGATTGAGAACTGGTTAAGAGACAGAAAACAAATGGAATAAATGGTAAATTTTCAGAATGGAGAAGGGTAACTAGTGGTGTCCCCCAAGAGTCAGTCCTGGGACCAATTCTGTTCAACTTATTCATAAATGATCTGGAGAAAGGGGTAAGCAGTGAGGTGGTAAAGTTTGTGGATGATACCAAACTGTTTAGGATAGTCAAGACAGAAGCAGACTGTGAGGGACTCCAAAAAGATCTCACCAAACTGAGTGATTGGGCAACAAAATGGCAAATGAAATTTAATGTGGATAAGTGTAAAGTAATGCACATCGGGAAAAATAACCCCAACTATACATACAGTATGATGGGGGCTAATTTGGCTATGACTAATCAGGAAAGAGATCTTGGAGTTATCGTGGATAGTTCTCTGAAAACTTCCACACAGTGTGCAGCGGCGGTCAAAAAGGCAAATAGGATGCTAGGAATTATTAAGAAAGGGATAGAAAATAAGACACGGAATATCTTAATTCCCCTGTATAAAACTATGGTATGCCGACATCTTGAATACTGTGTACAGATGTGATCTCCTCATCTCAAAAAGATATTTTGGCCTTGCAAAGGGTTCAGAAAAGAGCAACTAAAATGATCAGGGGTTTGGAACGGGTCCCAAATGAAGAGAGGTTAAAACGACTGGGACTTTTCAGTTTAAAAAAGAGGAGACTGAGGGGGGATATGATAGAGATATATATATATGGTGTAGAGAGGGCAAATAAAGTTATGTATTAGTTCCCATAATAGAAGAATTAGAGGACACCAAATGAAGTTAATGGGTAGCAGGTTTAAAACCAATAAAAGAAAGTTCTCCACACAGAGTGTAGTCAACCTGTGGAACTCCTTGCCAGAGGAGGCTGTGAAGGCTAGGACTATAACAGAGTTTAAAGAGAAGCTAGATAGTTTCATGGAGGTTAGGTCTATAAAAGGCTATTAGCCAAGGAATAGAAATGGTGTCCCTGGCCTCTGTTTGTCAGAGGCTGGAGAAGGATGGCAGGAGACAAATCACTTGATCATTGTCTTCGGTCCACCCTCTCTGGGGCACCTGGTGCTGGCCACTGTCGGTAGACAGGCTACTGGACTAGATGGACCTTTGGTCTGACCCAGTACGGCCGTTCTTATGCTACAGATTCAGCTTGCAGAATGAGTTGCTCCTTAGTTCACCCTGTAGCCAAATGAGCAATTCATAAATACACAAAAATGTATTTACTTGTATATGTGTGTGTTACAAAGGAAAACAGTGGCAAAGAAAAAATATACCAAGAGAACAAAAAAGGGAGCGGGAGGCAGAAATTGAGATGGCAAAGATTAATATGGCAATAAAGGAAACAGAAGAACAAAACTGAGATTGAATCTAACCTGCCTCCACATTCCCCTACAACTACATGCCTTATAATCACATTGTCTCGACACACATACCATATACGGACCTTACTAAGGAACAAAGCAAAAAGACAAGACAAATGAGCTAGGTGGAATAGTGCAGACATTATATGTATTTTCAGATATAAATCAGTTTTCAACATGAAAGGAGCAGACAAGTAACAGTGATGGTGCTGGCAATTCTGAAAAGTTTCATTACAGCCCCGGTACACACTAGAGAATCAACTAATTTAGCTTCAATCACTTCATTTTACTCTGTAAAGCTGAATAAAAAGTTTATTTGCCTTTTTAAATTTTCAATCCAAAATTCAAATCCCAGTGTCTTTCATGGAAGATGGCTTAATGAACTGTGATACTCCTGTTACAACAAGGGACAAAATTAGCCCCTAAAATGTCACATTCAATAAACTACTTCTGTTTATACTGCTGCTCAGTTTATTACACAGCATAATTTATCTGAAACAAATGATATTTTAAAATCGATTTATGTATGCATCTTGAGGAAGCCCTTATTTTCCCTGCAGAGCTTTTTACAAAGCTTCCCTCTATTCCTACATTAATGACAATTCACTGCTGGGATTTTACAGATTTATATACTTGCCGTTTCAAAGACTGCTTATTTTTTGCAGATATTTTTAACAGAGAAAATGCCAGATTTCAGATTAGGGTTCTTTGAAAAATTTTATGTCAAAAAAATGTTGACAGAAAATGTGTTTAACGGGGAAAAAATCCACATATTTTGTGCAAAGCACCTGCTTTACAAACTGTTTTTTTAAATGTTTTGTTTTGTGAAGAAATGTCAACATTTTTCACATTGGAATAAACCCAGACTTTTCCAGATCTATTTCAGATCTGTGTGGTTCAAACAGCACTATATTTGCCTGCTGATTGTTGAAGTAAATGAATAAAGTATAAGACACCAGGCTTCTTAACCTATCTTTGGCATGTCATTTTATTTTTTAAAAAGGTAAATGGTCTTAAAACCGTTATCACAGAAAAAGCTGTATCTATCGCCACTTGGACTTGGTTAATGATTAATTTATTTCCCCCTGGTTTCCCTACTCCAGTAAGATAGAAAGACCTCCATTTTCATTAGATGAAGGACCCCTAAGCCCCCCTCCTACTTTTCATGTGTTTTTTATCAGCTTTAAGTTATACCTCAGTTTATTAAAAACATGAACATTTGTAAATGCAGCATATGCAACTCTTCCATATACCAGTTGGAGAACAAGAGGTGCTATCATATGTGATCTATGCTAACCTAGCCAACTGTGCACTCTCCATGGCTGTCTCGATCAGTCGATGGCAGAGCGTGATGAGTTCCAGGAGCCTCGAGAAGGTCTCCAGAATAAAGGCTTGTTTTTCTCTGCCTTGCTTCTTTTCTTCATTTTTTCCTGACTCTAGTGCTAACATAGCAATATCCCGTATAAGGAGTGGGTCTTCCATCAGCGTGTTTGCAAATAACTGCAAGGAAAAAAAGAAAAGGGAGATCATTATTAACCACATTTGTTATAGGAATGCCTAAGGGACAACACCAAGAATGGTGCTTCATTGCATAGGCACTACATAAAAGCAGAACAGATGGTCCCTGTCTTGAAGTGCTTATAAAACAGATACAACAGCTACTTGGTGGGAGAAGGGATATAACACATACAGAGTGGCAAACTGGATGGTGGCACACAGGATATTAATACCATGATTTTTTTGTTGATTTCATATGTGGAGGGGAGTAGATTTACACGGGAGGGAATAACCTAAATGGGAAGAGAAGAGAAAGGCGAAGAAGGTAAGAGAGTTAGGTTAGAAGGAAGTCGAGGTGAAGAGTCTATGGGAGAGGAGCGCTAGCAGGGTTAGACCAAACAGCCATTTAGCATAGAGCAGAGAAAATCCAGTTAAAGCAGTAGGAAGTTCTCTAAGGGTACATCTACACAGCAACATTATTTCAAGATTATTAGCTACACAGCTAGTGTTATTTCGAAATAACTTAAACCACGTCTACCCAGCAGGCAGTTATTTCAAAATAATGTTGAAATACTGTCAAGCTGGAGGTCTTCTTACTCCGACTCCTGTAACCCGCACTGTATGAAAAGTAAGGGAAGTCAGAGGAAGAGTGCTCTATTTCGAAATAAGTGCTGTGTAGACATTCCCAATTTTGAAACAAGCTACGCTATTGACATAGCTCAATTTGCATAGTTTATTTCAAGTTAAGCCCTGCTGTGTAAATGCACCTCGAATGTCCCAGCTTTGGGTGTTCTCCCCCTATAGTTGTAGTCTGTCTGACTCCTTTGTGCAGTTGTCTCCAAAGACCAAGCAGAGCAGAGGTGGGCAAACTCTGGCCTGCAGGCCATGTCGAGCCTGGCAGATCTTTTGTGTTCAGCCCTCGAGCTTCCGCTGGAGAGTGGATTCATGTGGTTGCCCTGCTCTGGCACTCTAGCTGACAACGGGGAAGTTGGGGGGGGTCAGGGCCTGCCCTGCTTCCCCCACCCAGCGCTCCCCAGCTTTGCCATCTTTTGGCACGTGCAGAACCTCACTGCACTGTTTTTGGGGTTGGAACCCCACCTTACATGGCAGCCCTCCCCCTCACAGAATTGTACCCAATCCCCTTCCAGTCTCCTATGACCTCACCCTCAAGAACCTAGAAAACTTCCGTGGCCACACCTGTCTCAGCTAGAGTGTTTCTGCCTGTGGCAGTGCCTGGTACCGCTACCTTGAAGTTACTACTGGCAGGGACCTTAGCAGACTCTCCCAACCCCCTGTTCCAGTATCCTTTTCTCCCAGTCCCCACCCACCCCCAAATCCTTGTCCAGCCAGTCTCTATTCTTCCTCCTCCCCCTGTTCCAGGCTTCCTCTCATGCAGATGTTCCATCTCAGTTTCCCGCTCTTCTCCCTGTAATACTCCATTTCCAATTTCCACATGCATTCACGGGCTCCTTCTCCCAATCTATTTTCCCTACCACACCACGTGAGGCTCATCTCCCATGCATTCAAATCAGGCAGCTTCCTCCTCCATGCTGCCTGAGCCAAGCAGGGTGGGATCATTGGCTCTCCTGTGCTCTCAATCTCCTTGCTCTCCCTTCAGGTGCATGGGCCCCGACCTCCCTTCACAACCAGAGTCATATAAAGTGAAGACAGAAACTACTAAAATTATTATTAAAAGAAACCTTTAATGAGCATGTGTGAGCTATAATATTTCACAGCAATGACTAATAGGCCTGACGCAAAGACTGCTCCTCTGTCAAATTTCAAATCTCTGAGCAAATCAAAATATTTCCATCTAGTCCAGAGGTAGACAATAACCAGCCCCTGGGCCGGCTGTGGTTCGCTAGGGTTAGCCCTTGGGAGCTGCAGGAGGCAGTGTCCCCATCTGCGTTTCTTCCTGCAGCTCCAACTGGCTGGGAATGGTGATCTGTAGCCAACGGAAGCTTCAAGCTGCCATATTTGCAGAGGCACAGGTAAATTAAAGTGTCTAACCCTGGAAAACTATCTCCATCTTATTGCCCACCAGTGCTCTAGTCTGGTTTTTGAAAATTAGTCTAAAATTTTCCCAAAAATTCAGTATGAAATTATTAAAGTTTGGTGAAGTTATGGGCAACTAAAAATAGGGACTTATAAATGGGAAGTGTTTGGGCAATCTAAATAGGAAGCAGTGTTACCAGTTCCACTTATAGCAATATTTATACATACGTCTAACCTTTTATTACTAATAACTATTCAATTATATGCAAACAAAGAGAGTATAGGCCCCAATTCTAATCTCAGAACAGTTTTATATTTGCGTAATTGTTTTCACCTGATTATACAGTGCGGCTACGTCTACACTGGCATGATTTTCCGGAAATGCTTTTAACAGAAAAGTTTTCCGTTAAAAGCATTTTCGGAAAAGCGCATCTAGATTGGCAGGACGCTTTTCCAGAAAAGCACTTTTTCCGGAAAAGCGTCCGTGGCCAATCTAGACGCGCTTTTCCGCAAAAAAGCCCCGATCGTCATTTTCGCGATTGGGGCTTTTTGCGGAAAACACTACTGTGCTGTCTACACTGGCCCTTTTCCGGAACAGTTTTCTGGAAAAAGACTTTTGCCCGAACGGGAGCAGCATAGTTTTTCCGGAAAAGCACTGATGATTTTACATTAGATCGTCAGTGCTTTTCCGGAAATTCAAGCGGCCAGTGTAGATAGCTGGCAAGTTTTTACAGAAAAGCGGCTGATTTTCCGGAATAACTTGCCAGTGTAGACACAGCCTACTTGATTTATTGTGCTTCATTAGTGTGAGATCAGAATAAGCCACTTTTCTTATCACTGTGCCTGGAAGTTGGGATCTCTTGCATACAGAAAGAGACAAAATGGACTTTAACCAATGTATAAATGCTAGTCAAATAATTAAACACTAAAAAAATTATAAAACTGAAACCTTAACCACTAAACAAAGAACAAATATTATAGCAACGACAAGCTCTTTCCATCCTTACAATGCTTACTCAACTGGATTTACAAGTTACCACAATTCTCACTTACATAGAAAGTACAAATTGAACCTACATCTTTTTGAATTTGAGAGCTGTATGAAGAGTCAGGCTTTTCCATGGTCAGCCATTCATCCACTGCTAGCTGAAGTACTTGTTTTTCTATACTAGTTGCTTCACTGGGTGTTTTTGGTCTACAGAAGCTATAGAACTCCTGGAAGACGTACTCCAGAGCTTTTGAGATTAAAGATGCCAGGCCAAGGGAAGGGTGAAACTCCAGCAAGTAAATGTTCTTCAAACTAGGGCTTTAAAAAGAAGTGAAATTCAATAAACTGGTGAATTTATTGAAGAACATGATCACCATCAAAAGAAAAATCTTATGTTTTATAAGCAATTGGCAGGACAATCTTTTGTACTGGTCCACTGGATGCTGCTTAATAGCAATCTTTCTATTAATAATTTCCAATTAATGGCAAGATTATGCAGGGAACCCATCCTGTCCCATTGACTTCAATGATAACAGATTTAGATATCAGCCACAACCTGCCACTTATTGAGAAATCGCATGATTCAGGACAGTTTCTGGGGCTGCAGCCAAGGAAGGAAGTGCTGGGACATGACTTCTCTGGCTGTAGACCCACAAACCTGCCTGTGCCTAGGGACTGCAGAGGATATAAGGAGCTGGACTGCCTGCAACCCTGCCCAGTAAGGGAGCCCCTGCTGGAGTCCTGATGCTGTAGGGTGGGTAGGGAGGCTGTGGGTACAGTAGCAGCCAGGAGTGGCACTACAGCTCGATGCTAGGGCTTTCCAAAGGGAGCGGGGTGCTGAGAGCCAACAGGGCTGTATGGTACCTCTCCTTCTGCTGCCCTGCCAACAGCTTCCCCCTCGCCCCCCCCAAGGAAAGTCTCAGCATCGAGGCTTTAGCACCACCCCTCCTCCCCATTGCTACACTAGCCACAGGCAGGTTTGTGGAACTGCAACCAGGGAAGACATCCCAGTCTTTTCTTCCTTGGCTGCAGCCTCAGGCTACGTATACACGGCAGCCTTTTGTCGGCAGAGACAATGCAAATGAAGCGCTCTTTAGCATTTGTCGTGCTGTCATTTGCATAGCCTCTGCCAATGCTTTTTTCGGAAGAGGTTTTTGCACAAAAACAAGCAGTGTAGACGGGGTCATTTCACGCAAAAATCCCCTTTTGTGCAAGATCCCTTATGCCTCAAAAAAGGAGGCTGTAGGGCAGACATTTACTTATAGTTTGAATACTTTGAAATCATTGTTGTATTTTCCCCAATTAATACTGTGTTCCTTCTCCCTTAGGAAGGTTCCTTCATTACACACAGATTTAGTGGTTACGAGCAGGAAGAGTGTCTGCAACAGGCACCTTGGGTTGTGATTAGTTTTCCCAGGTTTCTGGGTGTGGGCTCGAACCAGTTCTCTTTTATAATGTTAAGATGAACACCTAATTATTTAAACCAGCCCTTGATGACACCATCACCCTCTAGTGAAAGATAATATATTGGGACAAAAACAACAAATAATGACCTTGAAAGTGGACTTTTGACATTAGTAATAGCATGCCCCTTTTAACAGGGAATATTAATTTCCCAATACAATGCAAAGTGAATGAATTAAATCCACTATCAGAAAAAAAATACTTTTCTTGCATAGTGTCTCACTGGCAAACCACAAAGTATATGAAATAGTAAAACTGCTGCCACATTAATCTTCATTATATAGCCCTTCCTCAGACATTTACAATTTGGTATCTAGCACCTTAGACAGCAAGATTCATTATCTGAAGACAAAAATCAATTACAATCACTAGAACATAAAACTTACTTCCAACAAGACTGGCTTTATTAAATTACTCACCAATTGTTGTTCAGAGAGATAAGTTGCTTAGCAATTATGTTATGGGGAAGTCCAAATTCACTGGTACTGCCTTTCTTATTTTTTCCCCAAATCTTTTGGACATATTCCTCTTGGGCATCTATCTAGAAATCAGTAATCAAAGCACGATAGAAGTGACATTAAAAACAAAGCTCAAAACATATCTATCAATGTTTGAGGCAAAACACAAATTCTCTTTACTGAAATATTGTATTTAGTTGTCAATTGAGTTATATTAGGGCTGAGTGTGGGCCCTAAATGATGATGGCTCATACATTTTTTTATTAACATTGATACTAACTATAGCAAGCTCTTACATAGGGCCTTTTGTTTGGGGATCACAAAGCACTTTACAAACGTTCATTAATTAAGTTTCCAAACTGCCACTTTACAGACTGGGAAGCTGAGGCACAGAGGAATGAAGTGACTTGTGCAAAGCTACGTGGAAAGTATGTGACAGAACTCGGAAAAGATCCCAGAGCTCATTTGTACTTTAATCTCTTGGCAAGTCTTTGACACTCTTCACAATTATCTGCCAAATACTGAAGAGCATTTAAAAACAAAAGTCAGTCAGTCAGTCAGTCAGTCAGTCTGTCTCTCTCTACATATAAATAAACTTTTTCATGGGATGACAGCTGCCCTGAGCAAGGCATTAAATTTAATTATGGAAACCTCATCACATCAGATAAAGCAATCTATTCTCCAAGGCTCTTAGGAGTAATAGAAATGTTAACTGCAGAGATCTGTGCTGACTATAGAAGTATTCGCCTCTCACCAGCCAGTAAATGCCCACCAAAACCAATGTTTAATTTGAATGTCATATTAGATTGGCTTGTTAACATTCTTTTCTTCCTACTGATAAAAGTTTGTTCTCTTCGTTCTTTACATTTCTGACGTATTAAGCTTTGGTGCTCTCAGAACTCACAGTGTAGGGGATCTGCTAAAGTTTAAAAACCCTTTTAGCAGAATTAAATTCAGTTTTATTTACATAGGTAACTAAGCAAGCATCACGGTGGGAAGCACAAGACAAGGCAGAAGTTATAAGTCAATTCCTGTATCAGATGAAGAAAGATCCTGAAATTTTGCTTATTCACACCTACCCCCTTCAATTTCCAACTGGTCTTTGCTATTTGTTTCTCCACTAGACCTCAGTCTAAAAGTGGTCACCACAACATACAGCAAAATATAAGGGAAACCGCCAAAAAATGGAGAATCATCCCCTTTCCAGCCCACTCGGAATCTAGAGAGCATTCCTGGAAAGTTTATGGTTTTGGAACACATTTTAAAGATGCCTCAACCAGGCCTTCAAATTGATGTCCACAATTGTTTGTAGGTACAAATAAGACTTTTAGAAATCCAGCTGTACATCTGTGCCTCCAGATTAGGGATCTGTGTGTCTAGGTGGTTATTGGTGCCCACCATTATTTGTACCTGTAATTTTCTCCTGTAGCTGCTCATTGGCACTAAGATCACAAGGCCCAGATAGCCGAGGATTACAAAGGAAATGTTAACTCCCTTCACATATCTTCCTCCTCAGTGCATCATTACATTTGACTCTGTCACTATACTCGACACCATCTACCTTCTTGCTTAGAGAGGCTCTTCAACAAGAGCTGATGGGGGAATGTCCGTTGATATGCTCCAAGGTAATATATCAGATACAAGAAGAGCAAATTGAGTATAGTAGCATCTCTTCCATACACGTTTGCTGAAATCAATTTTTACTTTAGATAGTATAAGACTTTTGAAACCAAATAATCCAATTTGATGTGATATAAGGCTACTTGGTCAACGATTTAGATACTGGCATAGAAAATACACTTCTTAAGTTTGCAAATGATACCAAGCTGGGAGGGGTTGCGACTGCTCTGGAGGATAGGGTCATAATTCAAAATGATCTGGACAGCAAAATGCTCCACTTAGGAAGGAACAATCAGTTTCACACATACAGAATGGGAAGTGACTGTCTGGGAAGGAGTACGGCAGAAAGGGATCTAGGGGTTATAGCAAACATGATTCTGGGACGCATTAACAGGTGTGTTGTGAGCAAGACACAAGAAGTCATTCTTCCGCTCTACTCTGCACTAGTTAGGCCTCAGTTGGAGTATTGTGTCCAATTCTGGGCACCGCATTTCAAGAAAGACGTGGATAAATTGGAGAGGCTCCAGAGAAGAGCAACAAGAATGATTAAAGGTCTAGAGAATATGACCTATGAGGGAAGGCTGAAAGAATTGGGTTTGTTTAGTTTAGAAAACAGAAGATTGGGGGGAACATGATAGCAGTTTTCAGGTATCTAAAAGGGGGTCATAAGGAGGAGAGAGAAAACTTATTCATCTTGGCCTCTGAGGATAGAACAAGAAGCAATGGGCTTAAACTGCAGCAAGGGAGGTTTAGCTTGGACATTAGGAAAAAGTTCCTAACAGTCAGGGTAGTCAAACACTGGAATAAATTGCCCAGGGAGGTTGTAGAATCTCCATCTCTGGAGATATTTAAGAATAGGTTAGATAAATGTCTATTAGGGATGGTCTAGACAGTATTTGGTGCTGCCATGAGGGCAGGGGACTGGATTCGATGACCTCTCAAGGTCCCTTCGGCTATGTCTGGACTGCAAGCCTCTTTCGAAAGAGAGCGTCTAGACTGCACGCGGAACTTTCGAAAAAGCGGCTTGCTTTTTCGAAAGAAAGCACCCAGTGAGTCTGGATGCTCTCTTTCGAAGAAGCCCTATTTACATTCAAGAACGCCTTCTTTCGAAAGAGGAACTTTCGAAAGAAGGCGTTCTTCCTCGTGCAATGAGGTTTACTGCCGTCGAAAGAAAAGCCGCGTTCTTTCGATTTAATTTCGAAAGAACGCGGCTGCAGTCTAGACGCAGGTGAAGTTTTTTCGAAAAAAGGCTACTTTTTTCAAAAAAAACCCTGAGTCTGGACACAGCCTTCCAGTCCTAGTATTCTATGATTCTATAGCAGCCTCCAGTGAGAAAATGCTGTGCAAAGCCAACTCCTAGAACTGAAGGAGGAGGGATGCAGCTAAGACGGATTTTTAGTTCCACTCAACATATTTCCTGAATGCCCTTGCATCTGGAAACAGTGTCATGCCCCTGATGTATCCAGTCCCAACCAGCCTGAGGTTGGAATGTGTAATAATGGCCTTAAATCTGGGTTTTCTTCACAGCAGTGTGGTATATTAACTATATACTGGACACTGTCTTAATATCAAAATGATAGTCATAATACACACTTGGACACACTAGACGAGTGAGAAGCATAAAACTTGGCACCACCAGCTTGCAAGTTACATCATAATCAGTTAATAAGGCAGAGCTGGCTTGAGGGCCTCTAGTTTAGTCTACCAGCAAAGCAGCTGTATTATTGTTATAACATCCTCAGAGACAGTCTTTACAGAGTATTCACAAATCAAATTCCGTTGTCAAGGAAACACTAGGGAATGTTCTACCAATTGCATTACCAGTTGAACTGTTGTTAATTTAGTAAATTATATTTACCTTGACGTTAGCAGAAGTCTAAACTTATACATCACTACCACCTTTGAATTATCCTAGGAAAGCACACTCAATTATTTCACATTCACTCATAATTATGCTTTCGCTCCCATCACCTCATCCTAAAACCCAACCCTCTACCCACACCCTTCCATACACAGAAGCAGTGTTTAGCAGTCACTTTCCAGATCACAGAGTGCTGGGAAAAATGTGGTTGGGGGCATTTCTTACACCATCTTCCACATTTTGGGGGAGAAAGAAAAGGAAATAAAGAAGCCTTATGTAAGTGAACTCATAATAACCTTGCTGTGAAGTAGCTCATCCAACTGGTACTGTGAGATATTTATGCAGAAAAAAAGGAGCCAACGTTTCAGAAAGAGAGAGAATGCAGTATATGTCCAGGGAACACACAAGAGCATGATATGATACTGGACAGGAATTTGGTATGGCTGTATTATTGTAGTAAAGCCAGAAGCAACATTTGAAGGGCATTTGAACAGGCTTTATAGAACAAACACATTATTATAATATGATTTATCTTTAACAGTGTTCTGTGTATTTCACATATTTTACAGAGGGAGAAAATGTTACAATTATTTCAATACTTAAAAATCTTACTGTAATTTTTTAAATACCTCTATCTTTAAAGCCAAATATGATAGTTATTGTATTCCACCTATACAGACTTTAGAGGAAGACTTTTTTAAAAAACCAAAGCCTTGTAATTAAATACATTTTAGGAACCACTAGAAGTTACTTAAAACAGCTTTTCCGTGTGTAAAGCCAACAGTCCTGGGTCACAGGCAGGTGGGACTGAACTGGCCATCTCAGGACCTAAAGCCAGAAGCCTCTACTTCATGAGCTAAAAAACTAATTGGCTCTTAGCTAAGCTGTAGAGCAGACTTCACTCTCTCTTCTCAGCTCTGGTCTTATTTCGAAATAATAAGCAGAGCGCCCGGACTACCAAGCCAATAATTTTGAAATAATGGGCTGGTTATTTCAAAATATGTTCTCCTGCTTTCTCTGGGGAATAAGCTTATTTCAAAATAGTTTTTGTGGGAGTTATTTAGAATTTAATTATTTTGAAATAATTTTCTAGTGTAGACATGCCCTCAGTGTCTCTGAGTTAAACATATATTAAAATTAAGGTCTGGGATCTCAGGGTTTCCACTCTAGAAGCAAATACTGCATCCTATATAGAAACCATACTCCTAGACCAACTGCATATGTCTCCCAGTTTTAGGTCATAATAGGTCACAAAATAGTAGACCCTAAAATTTTCAGTTAAAGAGTCATAGGAGGAAGATAATGCAATTCAGATAGCTCATCAATTTATCCTATCACAACAAACTTTGCAATGGAAAGATAAAAAGATTAAAAAATAAAAAAGGAATGCATTACATATTCCATTTCAATCTATGTTTTGGATAGCTTTTTTATAGAGTCACCAAATGCATCACCTTGAAGTCAGCTGGTGTATAATGAACATACTGGTGACAGCCAAGACCACCAGAAACACCAATGCCTCCTTTGACAGCATTAACCCAACAGGTATCTTCAGCATGGGAGACTAGATTACCAGCACGGACTGTGAGGCCTGAGGTGCTGATTGTTAAGGTTCACTCAACAGATCTGAAGTAGTTCAGAATTCCCAGGCAGACTCGCTGAAATAAATCAGATATATGAAAACACATACATTACTGTCGCTTAGGCAGGATTACATGGACACTGTGCCCTTGAAAAATTAACCCTGACACGGGCGTTTGTTTTTACCTGGAGCTCTCTGATTCTTAGGTGACGTAAGTAAAGGAAGGACAAGTAGGCTCCTTTCCTCATGATGAGGTCCTTACTGTCGGCCTCTGTGCCCTCGTCTAATCCCAGCAGCTGCAAGGTGGTTACATAACTATACCTTTTTCCAGACAGAAGAAACTAAATTTAATCACTGTTCCTCAAACTGATTTCTAAAACCCCTCTAAATGTCCTGTCTAGAAGTGAACTACTGCCTATTGAATTAACTGCCCTGGAAACCTGCAGCACAAAACAACAAAATACAGACAAAAGGACTTATGCTTCTGGCAGAGTCATACTTGTAAAGAAGGGACTAAGGATGTCAACATGTAGACAACTACACAATTAACCAATAAGCCTGGGTGTATCAGATAATTCTGACAACTACACACATTTCCCTCCCCCCCTCTCCCCATTTGCTGTCTCTTTATCAAAGGCGGCAAGGGAGGGGGAGGCAGGAGCTGGTGCCCATGGGGAGCCGGCTTTTAAGCCATGTGGTGCCGTCGGGGCCGGGCGATGTCTGCCCTCATGCACTATGTCTTCAGTCGCCCCAGAAGGCAATCAGTGCCAAGCATCCTCATGCCGCCTAGAGGGTGCCGGAGTCGGAGTTGGAGGGGAGGGGAAGGATTCGATTAGAACCCTCGCTGCCTCCATGGTCTCTGGTGTGGATGGTTATGGGAAGTCCTCCAGAGGGCTGATGTCCCCTCGCAGGGGAGGCCCTCCCAACCGAGAAGGCCCGGGCTCATCGGTGCCATGCACCCCATTGGAGGGTACATGGAGGGTGCGTGACTAGGTTGGGACCGACCTGTTAGGCTGCCTCTTCTTCTGAGGTGCCAGCAATTGAGAGCGGTGCCGGGGCTCCTGCAATGCCGGAGAGGCACGGTGCATGGAACCGTCACGCACCAAGGCTGGTGTGCTCCGGGAGGCCAGTGCCGAGTCCGGTGCAGGTCGGAGAGCCACTTCCACGAGGAGGATCTTAAGGTGCGACTCCCTCTCACATTTTGTCTTGACTTGAAGGCCTTACAGAGTTTACAGGCTTCTGTAAGGTGTGCTTCTCCCAGACACTTTAAGCACGACTGATCACTGCATGGCATAGGCCTATTGCACTTTTTGCAGGGTTTAAAGCCTTGCGGGCTGGACATGCCCTGCTGCAGGCACACGGCACACCACAGTGGGGAGCAATCAACAGAAAACAACAAAAAAAGTCTTTAACTTAAATTGCAGACACTTAGCTGAAGATTAACTAAAGATTGAAGAAGAACAATGAAGACAACAATCAGCTGAGGAGCTGAGGGTTGTTCCAACAACCCTCAGGGTAGTAAGAAGTAACTGAGTGGGTGAGGGGGTCAGCAGGGGTATATATGGGCCAGTATACTGGCGCCATTCCAACGGGCTCCCTGCTGACCCTAAGGGTACTGCTGAGGGAAAAACTTCCAACAACACATGCACACACCTATATTGGAATGCACATGAGCAATCACTCGAAGAAGAAAAGTTATTTACTTATTCCCATAACATAAGAACTAGGGGTCATCAAATGAAATTAATAGGCAGCAGGTTTAAAACAAACAAAAGGAAGGTTTTCTTCACTGAGCGCACAGTCAACACGTGGAACTCCTTGCCAGAGAACACAGTGAAGGCTAGAATTCTAACAGGATTAAAAAAAGAGCTAGATAGATTCATGGAGGTTAGGTCCATCAATGGCTATTAGCCAGGATGGGTAGGAATGGAATCCTTAGCCTCTGTTTCTCTGGAAGTGGGTGACAGGGGAGAGATCACATGAGGATTACCTGTTGTAATCCCTCCCTGTGGAGTATCTGGTATTGACTACTGTCAGCAGACAGGATACTGGGGTAGGTGGACCTTTGGTCTGACCCAGTATGGCCGTTCTTAAATTGAATTTTAAGCATATACCAAAGTGGCTATTTTATTTGGGGCAATATGCATTTTAGAATTATTATGACATATCTGCTTTATATCCTGGACATGTCATGTGGCACTTTTATAGTAGTAAAATAGAGACATTTGTTCACAAACTGGTAATTTTTTAACCTGCATGGATTTAGAAAATAACTATTAAGTATCCTGTAAAAGCCAGATTCCTACTTGTGGTAATTAATGCCTGTAATACGTGCTAAAATTAAAAGGTGAGAAATTGAAAAATAAGCTTGTGTGAAAGTGCAGGAGGGTAACTGGGCAGAACAAAGCTGTGGAATCCTTCATTTTACTAAGAAGAACCATAATGTTAAAAACAGCAATATTTGGTTGTTTTAACAATTACTGTAATATATGTTGATAAGGGAAGCTATACAGGCCTTATACTACTCTTTATCTAAATGTACTTCCTACCAAAGATACAGAGTTCTCAACACTATTCCTGTACTGCAACACAACCTACAATACTTGTGTTCTCCTGCCAAACTTCAAGAGCATACTCATTAATATTTTGTAAATTCTTTAGTTACCAAGGAAAACAGTTCCATCTAATTAGCTGAGTTCTTGAGGTTCTCTGTATCATAGCAGACATCAAAGTGAGACAGCAGAAGTCGGAGGTGAGGTTTCAGTTCTTCAGTTTCTGTTGTGTGTTGGGGCAGCGTGAAGACAGCATCCTTGCTGTGTGTTCCTACAAAAGGCCAGAACCAAACTAACAGCAGCTTGTAACAGTTCCTAGCAACTGCTGAGGAGCAGTGGATTCTGAAACATGCTGCAGTCTGTTATAGGGGACTGTATAGGACAGTACTACTGTTTTCCCACTTCCTTTACATATGCAGACTAAATTAATTAAGATCTGATGCTTAGTTTGATAGGAAACTGCCACTGGATTCTAAATGTATATTTTTATTAAAACCTCCACTATCAATGACAAAATAGTAATAGCTATCTTTGAGGCACAGATCTGCAATATAATGTACTGCTGTCGCTGCTGCAGGAATAGCCATCTGCCAGTACAGAAACAAACTACTTCCTGAATTTTAATGACATCATTGTTTCCTTGAAAGCCAAGATCGCAATGACCTGCCAAATCAGGTCTTATAGTCTACAAACAACTGAAATATGTTTCTATGCTAACCCCATTATTCCTTCTATGAATAATATTTTTGTGTTCATGCTACATGTGATCATGTTTTTCTTCAATAACATGCTTCCAGAAACAAGATTCCCTTTCCTCATGTCTGTATTAAGGATGCGTGAATCAACTGTAAATAATCTCCTTCTTCCCAAATAAATAACTCAATTTTTAGAATAGTTTTGGGGAAGTAATAAAATGTTTAATTGTTTTTCTCCTTACTCCTTTCTCCAGCTGTGTCTGGAACCAGACTTGCCAAAGTCTTTTCAGTCAACCTAATTAAAATTTGCAGGCAACACAGGTGTCACCTTACTTTTCTCCCCATTTTTTCAGATGTATATTTAACCCTGGCCTTAGCATGGAACTTCAGGATATCCTCTGCCAAATCTTTGCCATGCTGAAAATTGATTAATGGCAATTAATTCTTAAAAACTAGGAGTCCTCTGGCACCTTAAAGACTAACAGATTTATTTGGGCATTAGCTTTTGTGGGTAAAAACACTTTGTCTGATGCATTGCAATTAATTCTTACTTTGTCCGTAAGCCAATTTCTAACCCTTGACAATTATTTGCTTTTCATCAACAGCAATTTAGTTTCTTTTACAGCAAAAAGTCCAAATAAATGTTAACTCCTTTCTCCTTTATCCAGTATTTTGCCGAGATGCTCATTGAAATCTAATTGATGTTACAATTTCCTAAAGTTCAAGCAGACTCGCAGGGTTTCAGTGGAAGTATATATAACCTAATTAATTATCTGGTTGCATTGGCAGTAATGGGCCATCTGTGTTCCCATTCTACACTTCATTTTGTCTGCACTTTTAATGTTTTGCTTAATCATGTGTTGTTTTATATAGCAACTCAGACGCAGACAATAGATGGCTGGAGTTTGCAATGTTAATATAATATTGTACAAACATTAGATAACAAGTTATTGATGTAAACACAAAAATAAGCTAAGTCACGTTTAAGTCGCTTTTTGTTACCATAAAGGCCTATTCCCCAACAGAGTGAATACCACATGTACTCTAAAACATACTGCATGGTATAAAATTTTGACAGTCTGTGGGAAGACAAGCAGGGCACGGGAACCAGGTTTGTATATTATTTGTGGAACTGATCCAAACAGCCATCCTATCCATAGGCTAGACCAGGGCAATCACCCCAAGCCCTGAGCTTTGGGGGAACAGAGATTTCAGGGCAGCCTGGGTAGTTTGCAAGAGATTTGGCACTGGCAGTAGTGAGCAATCCATTCCCAACCCAGCCCACTCTGCCCCCAGGGGCTCCCAGCATCATTGAGGGGAGGAGTCAGAAGCTGGAAAGAGACTGGGGGCTTTGGAGAAGGGGTGGAGTGGAGGCAGGGTGGAGTAGCTGCATGAAGAGGCAGGCAGCGTTTACATTTACAGTCCAGCCTAGCTTCCCAGCTGCTGGGAGAGCACATGCTACCTTTCTCTCTGCCCCCCAAAACATAGCAGGAGCTGTAATCTCCCTGAACACTTGGGTGTCATGACAGGAGTATAGGTGGTCAGAGCAGGAGTTGAGAGTTAAGCCATATTGGATACCAGGAGGTCAGAATCCAGGACAGACCAGATGGCAAACCAGGAGTCAGGTATCAGGAGGCAGGCAGGGTCAGGTTAGCAGGAGTTCAGTAGAAAGTAGCGGGAGCAGGCACTGCAGGAGAAACTGTCCTAAATAGGTTGATCTCAGTTGCAAGGACAAATATCTGTCCTTGTGCTGGGTTTATATAGAGGAACCCAAGTGTTCTGCCAATTGTATTCCAGGACTGGTCATGGGTTGTGAACATTGTAGCAATAGGAAGGCTCTGCCATCCCAACAGCCTGATCTGTTCCCGCCCTCCTCCACCTCCAGGCCCCTTTCTAGCTGGCTGCTGTTCCTAGGCTGGGGCTCCCCAAGGCTGTGCCACACCCCCCACCCCATGCTGTCTGTCCTCCCTGTGCTGGGGCCTCTCCAGGCACGCCATGGCCTGCCCAGGGCAGGGGCTGGAACCTCTCTGGGTGCACTGCCTGTGCAGCACTGGGGCTACTGGCTCAGTGGGGGAGGAGGGCCTTCAGAAGCAGGAGAGCATGCTGACTGGAGGTCAGGCCAGGCAGTGTTGCCCAGGGAGGCTGGGGACACACTGCTTGTCTTTCTGAAGCTAGAGAAGACTGGGACCACACTACCAACTCTCCAGTGGTAAGGCTATGGCAACACTGCCGTTTTCCATGGGAGGGGGAGACTTGGGCCATGCAGCCTTGCCACCTGGCACTCTAGGGTTAGTGACTGGGTTAGTCAGCGGGTGCAGAAAGATTGGGGTCTCAGTCAGAAGGGGCAGGGCTTGAAGTCCAAGGCAGTGTCCTTGGGTTTACCACCAATGACTGAAGTCCTCTTTCAGTGTCCAGCTTCTATTCTGGCAATTCTCAGTGCTCTGTAGGCCGGGGTTCAAGACCAGTGGTTCCTAACATTAGGAGTTCCCAGAGACACTGCTCTGGCTGATATAGCTCTATGCTGTCCTCAGTTCAGGGCTGTGCCTATAAGGAGAAGTTGAACTAGTAAATTTAAAATGAGGCAGGGATGTGTCTTATTTGTCTAGCACCATACAAATTTGTGGCACTCTATAAACAACAAGCATTGTCCCCCGATTCAGCAGAAACAGAGAATCACTAAGAAGAGATTTTCCTATAGAAATGTTTGTATATGTTTTAAATTATAAATCTCTCTGTAAAGAGGCCACCCTACTGAAACGTATCTTAAGCAATGTTTATGCAAAAGACAGTTGTAGCATTTCAACGCTTGATATTATCAGACCAATATCCCAGATTCCCCATCGAGTTAAGTACTGTAGTGTTTTTCTAATTTTCTGTTATTATGACTCAATACACATATTGCTTCCTGACTATCTGAAGGTCTTGTAACACACAACCCTTCCCAGTAACTAGGTTATAAAAATCAAGGGAGACATCCCTGCAGATTTTGAAGTCTGTGCTCTGGATCTCTGCAGCCTTCTCAGTACTACAGGATGCAGACTGGCTTCACAAGCTGCATTCCAGATTCCTCAAATGTGTAAACAAGAACATTTAATAATTTACAAACCAAGACTGCTCATCTGTTTCAAGAGTACATGTCACAAATGACCTCTAAATTACAGGTCTTTTTATTGTAGTTTTAAAGAAAATGTGATGACTTCTCACCCTCTCTTTGTGAAGTGCTGGGGCAAAGAGAGATGTGAATATTAGAAAATAAGGATTCAGATACAGTGGCACTTCTGAATTTCTCTCCATTATCCTGGGCCACCTTGGGGTGTATTACCACCTCCATTCTGTGTGACAGAGGCAAATACTGGAGTACCTGAAAATATAAATGTATGTGTTGACATTTTAATTCACTTAAAAAGCACTAAAAGCATTAAAGTCATGTCTGTGACTTAAGAGAGAAAACATACATGTGAGAGAGAGAGAAAAAACCCATGATTGTCTGCCATTTGAACTATAAAAGATACAATTAACCTACTAAAAATTACTTTCAGTGCTTATGCAATAAAATCATTAGATTAATTAAGTGCAATACAGAACAACAACTCAGAATTCCCTTTCAAATTTTCTGTGTTCTTAGGCCAGTCTTTATGTACCCTGGCATTGCTAGAGTGGAAGTATTAAGGTCATATGGGTATATGAACAAATGCCACTCAAAGTCCAAATTCATCTCTCTTTTGGCTTTATTTACAACTCCCCACAAGGATATGTCAATACTTAAAACACTCCATTGCTACTAATGCAGCTGAGCTGCTGTAGCACTTTAGTGAAGTAGGTTGTGTCTGCAATAGAAAGAATTCTCCCTGCTAAGTAATTAATACGTATCCCTGAGCAGCAATAACTAAGCTGACGGAAGAATTCTTCTGTAAAGCTAGCACTGTCTGCACTACGGGTTAGGTTGGCAATTCTATGTCTCTCGAGGTCATGGATTTTTCACAACTCAGAGATGTAGCTATGCCAATGTAAAAGTGTAGACTAGTCCCCTGATAATAAAGATAGCCTGGAGAGAAGATTTCAGATTTTCTCCTTCCAAACTGCTCTGCCTATACTCTTGGTCATCTTTGATCCAAGCAGCTCATTTATATTGTATGCAAAGAACTAATTACCCTACTTACCTGAATAAGCCAGAAGAATTTAGCTATCTTTTTCCTAGCAGAATTGAAAGCCTGCTAACACACTGGATCGTTTGCTAGCACCTTGCTTGTGCAAGTCAATACTTTCAAATCTCTGTATTTCTTTTAAATTTTAACCTTAACTGAATTTCTTGGGTTTCTCTTTTTTTTCAATCAGTGATTTTTATATCAGCTACAGCATTCTTGCAAGAATTTTATCCCCTAAAACAAAAATCCCATAGAGTTCTGAGATATACACACAATCCTTTGCTCCAGCAGAATCACTTTTTCCCTGGGAAATATTATTACATTTAATAAATGCAAACATTTTGAAGTACATTCAAAGGTTGTGTAATGATGTTGCACTGCTCACAATGCTTCCTTACCCTAAGGTAGCTGTGAATGGCCTTGAGAGAGTGTAGGTGACAAACTAACCACTGCATGTAAATCACCAGGTCTTCCTGTGTCACTGTAGGTACAGGATTTTTCTTTCCTGCCAGGAAGTTATGTCGTGCAACTGACAGTCTTGCAGCCCTCTGAACAGCATCGTGGTATTCCTGCATAATGTGACCAATTTGTTTCTACAGAGAGAGAGAGAGAAGACATCATTTTCCCCATCTCAGTTTCTTTCTCGGTGCAATCTATTAATTAACTAGAAGAACTCTGCATTCCCACGATTTGAAAAATCCTGCTTTGGGCGTAATTTTGAGGTTCTTGATTCCAAAACTGACATACTGGGAATCAAGGAAAAATCTGCAGTCACAGAAGAAAAGTTATCTCTAGTCTCAGAGAATTTCTTACTAGTCAGCACTGACAGTAAAGGAAGCTGCAATGAATATACTCAGATGTCTAAAATCTGAATGTATAAAAATCGCAGAATCATCCACAATCTTTCCCCCCCAATTAAATAGCCCTCATTCTCCAGATGGCAACGATTACGTAGATAAAAAGTGAATGGCATTTGTGACATCATAGCTTTACATCATGCTTTTAGAATTAAGTAAAACGGAACTCAAAACCTTTTCAAAACCATTTGTATATTTTAGGGAATTTAATGCTAGTGAATGTTCCCTAGTTGCTGATGCTCTCTGTCAAAACTAGAGTTCATCAGAAAGTAGAAAATATGTTTCTGCTTTTTTTATAAAGCAACAACCTCCCAATTTTTGCACAAACTCTACTTAAAAACTAAGTTTAAAAAATGGTTCCTTATTACAGTTACCTGATTCACACTAGCCTAAAATACTCTCCAAGACTGTTACAACACTAGCCCCTACAACTGTTACAGATAATCACACTAGCACACTGCTTTTCTTGCGTTATAACTGGCCCCTAAGCAATAATAAAAGTTCACAGTATATTTTGCAAGAACAGCAAGTTTCTTCATGTGCTCTGCCAGTGTGCATCTACTCTGTTTAGTGGTAGAAATAGAGGGTAGGTTCAATTTCCATGTCCTTTAAATCCTTAGCCCATTTTAAGAGGCTGACAATAAGTGACATTTGTATATGATGTGGACAATAGTCCACTAGAAAATGCATGGAAAACACCAACTTGTTCATGGAATTTACAAAGTAGACGGAATAGTACTTACTGGCTCTGTAGCCTATAATCTCATCTCTGAGTTTCCTTTCTTTAAATTAAATAGCAATTTTTTTTCTAATTGATACACCTGTCCTCATGGAAAGCAGAAACTGCTTTATCATCTCTGACACTGTGCTTCCACATTACTAGCGTAACAAAATGATGGAAAATAACCATAATTTGTCTATGTCTTCAAACAGGATTCTTGAATTGTCCACTTTAAATCAAAGTATATAATAAATATACGAGCAAAGATTGATTTGGTAAACAATAGAAGCATTTATAATACAGCTGCATAACATAGAAAAAATGCAATCAACAAATATATTATGATCACAATCACTAAAAAATTCATATTTAATCACTAAGAGCAGATTGGCAAGAAGAGTACGGAAACTATTGTACCCTAACACTTATTATTTCATGATGTCAGACTTCATCTTCCACCACAATTTATTTTCAATGAAAAAGTGTTTCTCCTGGAAACTTAAGCAACGTGGGCTGAACAAAAGAAGTGCTACATTCTTTGAAACACAATAAATGAAGAGACAGAAAGATGGAATATGGAAGAGCTTTCCACTTTCCTGAATGGACTCTTCTTCATTTTTTTTTTTAATTTTTGCTTTCGCTTAATTTTTGAATGATTGTCTGGCAGAGAAATTCAGAGGGGGCCTATGCCTTAAAGCCAAGAACAGATTTTATTGAGTAAACCAATGCTGCCAAGTTATGTGGTTTAAGAAGATAGCTTGTTGGGCAAAATGTGCAATTATTGAGCCATTGCCATACTTGTTTTGAAGCTCTGGCACTGTTGAGCTTTACTGTGACAAGGGTTCCTTAGGAGAATGTATAGTTAGACTCATAAGTGTTTCTGAATTGCAAATGGAAGGGAAAAAATAAAAGTAGTACCAGCCAAATTTTTTTTTTTAGTTTTCTAAACTGTATTCTGTTAACATATGACATATGAAGAATACTGTGGGGGAGGAAGATACAAAAATAACTTTCTGATGCTCTTTTGAGATGACCTACATAATAAACAATAATGATAACACTCGGTATCTGGTGGTACCTTTAATAATAAATCATAAACATGTACTGTGCAATGTTCTATTTTGTGGCTCAGATTTCCTACCTGATAGAGAGGATAAAGCTGTTCAATAACACTGCTGTGCCTACAAAATCTCTTCCATCTAAGCATGTGTAAGTATTTACTTTGAACCAGGTGGATAATTCTGTCTGTAAAAAACTTCAATGAAACCAGAAATGAACAACATGTTACACCTGAGCAAATGGTAAAGTTTAACCATATGTGGAACTAAATCAGTACTAAGAACAACATAAGCGGGGGAGAGGGAGAAAATGGTCAGTCTCTCAAGATCTCTGTTGTCATACATCTTCATACTGAGAGCTATCTTTCTCCACACGTAATCCTAGTAAAGGAAACCGTGCTACTCATCAGTAAGGTATTAATCAGCATGAAGAAGGCAGCAGAATCCACTGCACTAGGATTAGCAACTTTAAAAAAAAGCTTAAGAACAAAGGCTACAAAAACAGATGGCGGCACATACAGTAAGCCCCTGTAGCCAAGAAGGCTAATGGCATATTAGGGTGCATTAGGAGGAGCATTGCCAGCAGATCTAGAGAAGTGATTATTCCCCTTTATTTGGCTCTGGTGAGGCCACATCTGGAGTACTGCGTCCAGTTCTGGGCCCCCCACTATAGAAAGGATGTGGAAACATTGGAGAGGATCCAGCGGAGGGCGACCAAAATGATTAGGGGGCTGAAGCACATGACGTATGAGGAGAGGCTGAGGGATTTGGGTTTGTTTAGTCTTCAGAAGAGAGGAGTAAGGCAGGATTTGATAGCAGCCTTCAGCTTCCTGAAGGGAGGTTCCAAAGAGGATGGAGAAAGGCTGTTCACAGTAGTGACAGATTGCAGAACAAGGAACAATGGTCTCAAGTTACAGTGGGGGAGATCTAGGTTGGAAATTAGGAAAAACTATTTCACTAGGAGGGTGGTGAAGTACTGGAATGGGTTACCTAGGGAGGTGGTGGAATCTCCATCCCTAGAGGTTTTTAAGTCTTGGCTTGACAAAGCCCTGGCTGGGTTGATTTAGTTGGGATTGGTCCTGCCTTGAGCAGGGGGCTGGACTTGATGGCCTCCTGAGGTCTCTTCCAGCTCTATAATTCTATGAATATAGGCAGGGCTGGCCCCAGCCATTTAGGCGTCCCGGGCCATCTGACTTTGATCCCATCCCAGCTGACTTTGATCCCTTTTTAGATATCTAACCAGTGGGTTTTGCCCATGAAAGCTCATTATACTATATATATAAATCTCTCAGATGCCACAGGACTAATCGTTTTTAAAGTTACAGACTAACAGAGCTATCCCCCTCTGAGACTTTCAAACCAAGTAGTGCACGAGGTTCCTTAGAATCCAAGGAAATGCTTTAAAAGCACATCCATTTTCAAGATAGCCCTCAGAACAAAGTTTCATGTAATCCTTGCTTTAAATCACAATGCAGTCGCCATCACTCTAGGACATACATTTTGAAACACTGTTCAAGTCTGAGTAGCAAACAGAAAAATTACCTGGTGCAGTAATAGAGGTAAGCTTTCTGCTGTATACTCTGTTCTCAGACAGCTCTCTAGCTCCCTCTGCATGACATCCGCCTGAACAACAAGAGGTTTTGCCTCAGCTACCTGCAAGCACAGGGTAATTAGATATCCAGCAAACTTTCTGGGCAAATACAAATACTCAGGAAAAATGCTATGCAGCATTTGTGTTTTGTAATAGGCAAAGCCATTCCTCCCCCACAAAATTTCAGCAAAAGGCTAATTTTTCCACACAGTGTGGAATACAATATTATTGATTTTAAATAAAGAAAACCAGTTGTTATGGACTTGATCCTGTAGCCTTTGAAGCCAGTGGGAATCATCACATGGGTAATGGCTACAGGATTGGGCCCAATTATCAGCATCACAAAAATGACTTTTACTAAAAATAAAGGATTATGTTGTTTCACTAAATATACAATTATATCAGTACTCTACCCACCCATCCCCATGTGTCTTATTGTCAAAAATGAGATAAGTTACAGTTTTGTCCATTAAAAAAATCTTTATCTTCAGTTCTCAATTACTATTTAGAATATATTTAAATGAGATTTTTTTATGCCAGTATATTCTTTAGTTACCTGTAAAGCTTTGTTCAGTGTTACCTCCCTTTCTTTTCTGAAGTAAGTAGCATCCTTTGGTATTGGAACAGAGCTATAGAAAAGTGATCCAAAAGAATATTAAAGACCAATAGAAAACAATGTAGTGTCTGTTATTAATATATTTCTTTGCCATAATCTGAAACACAAATCAATGGTAAATATTATCCACAGTAAATATTCCTTTTTTAAAGGCTGAAAAGTTTTAAAAATTATATAGATATAGACAGAGCTGTCCCGTCCATAGGATGAATTGGGACGGCCAGCCCAGGTTTTTGGGGGCCCCAAAGAAGCCATCCTATGGAGGGGAGGGACTGGGGAATTAATGAGGCCTGGCGCACATGCGCGCGTGCACACACACACACACACACACACACACACACTCACCACTGAGTGGTGGGAGCCAGAGTGGCTCAGCAACCTGCTTTCTGGGGAGGGGAAAGGGGAAGAGAAGGGGGAGGAAAGGCTCTGGGACACGGGGGGGAGGGGTTTCCCCAAGCCCCGTGCCCATCTCAGGACAGCCCTGGATATAGATTAGGAAAAAAGAGATAGTGTGTACACCTGGACAAGGTTTACAATCCCTAAATCAATTAAAATCCTCACTAAAGTAAATAAAGACTTTGCCTTAGTGAAGCTTGCAAGACAGGACCCAATATTTATTGACACTAAAAACTAAATGTGTAAAAAGGATAAGAGTCAAATCTCACCCTCTCAAACCCACACTATATTTAAAATTCTTACACACAAACTATTGCAAATATTAAATATTATTCTACTAAATAAAAATGAATGTGTACGTACTAAATGCCAACCGAGTGCCCAATTCTCAGTCGAGTAAGAGCTGCAGAATCACATCCAAGAACAACAACCATAGTGGAACACTTAAAAATACCCCTCCTTCAATGTAAGTAATGATGGAGGATTAAATAACGCTGCATGGAAATTTTAAATTTTGTTTGGGATTTAACACGCAGAACCACACTGAATTTTCAAAACAAATTTAGAATTTGATAATAGCTTTCCCATACTACGCAGTGAATAAACAGAGGAATCAGGATTTAAAAAAAAAAAAAAAAAAAAGAGTCAATGTTCTTTGTTCCCAGGTCTGTGTCCAAGCCTCTAGATCACGTATGTATGTATGATTTCTAACAAGAGGCAGTGGTGCCGACTAGGGATGTTAAATATCAATTAACTAAATAGTCGAGTAACCTCATGAATTCTTAACAGTTAGACGACTATTTTATAGTTCCCGGGGGCAGGGCCTGCAGCAGCACGGGGTACCAGGCGGGAGCTAGTCTGCAAGGGGAGCCAGTTTAAAAACCAGCTCCTCTTGCGGACCGGCTGCCTGTTGCCCTGTGCTGCTTCCTTTGATAAAGAGGCAGCAGTGCAGGGTGACGGCAGCCCCTGTCTAGCGGGAGGTGGTCTGAGCTCCCCAACCTGGCGCAAACAGGAACTGAGCTGAGCTGCCTGCCCACCTGGCTCCTAATACACTTTAAGTGCAGAGCCATAGCAGGAGTAGGTTCCAGACCCATCATGAGCCAGGCTGCTGATCAACCTGCTAAAAAATATACTGGTTGGCAGGGAGGAATGCATGTAGTCTATAACATTAACCTTTAAGCTTTTGCTTGTTTGGTTAATTGGTTAATCGACTACACTATTATATCCTAGTGCCGACAGCCTCTGGGCAAGGTGGTGGAGGGTTAGGCTGAAGGCAGGCAGCCTGGAGCACCACCTGGCACATGCCACCACTCTCCCCGCCAAGCCCTTACAGCCACCCCAATCGCATAGCGCAGCGCTATGGTGGTGATTTAAAGGGTCCGGGGTTCTAGCCACTGCTACTTCCGCAGTAGCAGTTAGAGCAGCTGGGAGCCCTGGGCCCCTTTGAACTGTCAAGCTCAGGACAACTGTCCCCTTAGTTCCCCCTCCCCTCCAATCAATGGGCCTGACAACAGGAAACCAAAAATGTACAAAACAAACCTTTATAAAATACATAACTGACATAATCAATCATCTTTCCCTCATTCATCAAAAGTACTTTACCTGTAAGCTCTACTTGGTGTTCCCTGCAGTACCCCATTGTCTTCTATTTCTGTCTTCAGCTCCACCAACTGAAAAGCTAGTTCTTTTTCCAACTGCTGGACTCTCTCAGTGGAAGAGATCTTGTAAAATCCATCTATATTGTAACTTCAGGGCTTTAAGTCTAAAACAGAAGTATACTACAGAACAAGCCTCGTATAGACAGTGTTTCCCCTCAAGAGTACAATAAATAAACCTTAATGCATAAGAGATATTCTTATATTTCCAAGGTGAGAAAAATAAAACCACAGAGATCATAGGTGATACATATTGTATCTGAGATGACCATCGGAACATTATAATAAACATTGTTTATTTTTTTCTGGTGTGGGAAACACCAGGTCCACTAGATTTTCCAAGGAAATCTCACAATTTCAATTTCCAACCCTGGAATCACATTATTTGCAGTTTCACATTTTTAGATTTATTGAGTAAATCTCATGGAATTTAATCACTTCATTACTGGGTGACTGTGGACAAGTCACTTCCCCTCTCGGGGGCCTCAGTTTCCTCAGAGGGATATTGATACTATCCTCTTTTGTAAAAGGCTTTGAAATGAAAAGCTCTTTACAAGAGCAAGTTAACACAACCACCATTACCACCACCACCATCATCTTTGATACTTCAAGCACTGAAATGAGGCCTACGGTTTTGCTAAACAATCAAAAGTGCATTGTCAAAGTCGCTTGGTATGACCCCATCCAAAATCTTAATCTCCACTCTCCAGCTATTCTATCAAGCAAAAATTCTTCAGCTCTGATAACAAGCACACAAATCAGTAACAATAATCAGCAACTTATTCACACTATACAAGATTGTTATAGAACCAATTTTAATTTTCCTAAAACAGATCATGCATGTTTTACATTGTTACTAAAGAGTAACATTACAAAAAAAAAAGTGTCCTCTTTCCATGAGGGGAATATATAAAGTGTGGAATTAAATAATAATAGCCTGCACTTCTAAGTATTATTTGTATTGTGTTAGTACTTATGGGCCAGGGCCCTGTTATGTTAGGCATGGTACAAATATATAAAATCTTAGGCCCCAGTCTTACAAACATTTACTCACATGAAAATCAATTCATTGGAGTAAAGTTAAGCACATGCACAAGAAGCAGCACAAGAAAACAAAATGAGAAAGTTATGAATAATGCCTAATCACTATAAACTGTTTTTGATACATCACACAAAGGGGGAGTTTCAAGGGACACATCCAAAGTCCACTGAAGTCAGTGTGAGTTTCATTGGGTTTTGGATCAAAGTGCAAGAAGACAATGTGCTGTCCTTGTGGATTTCAAAGATGTAGGTGAATGAATTTAAAGTTCTATTTTCCTCAGAAATAAGAACATATGCTCCATATATATTGCTTCTTATTTTGCTGCCATAATGTTATGTTGGGAAGCAAAAGTCTCTTAGTAAATCTTCCAGTCCACAAACATCTGTAGTTAGTTATGTTAGTAAGTATCCAAGTCCTGATGAGATCCTGCCTTTTCTAAACATGTTTTTGCCAGTTCCTATTCCCAGAACACAGTGGATTTATTGAGATGTCTAAAGGCCAACCTTTAGTTATGCTGAGAAGAAGATTGTAACATATAATGTTTTCAAACTAAATCCTTTTGTACAGACACAAAATCTTTGCAGCAGGTTTAAGAAATAGAGTATTACTGTTTAATATGTGCTGGCATATTTGAGTAAAACTAGAAACATGAACTGCTGCTGCATACAATTTGCTTTCCTAGGTATCTAGTTATATAGTTTGTCTTGTATTCTTTGTCCTATTTTGCATATGTCCAATTGCAAACTCTGACCCTAGGTTAGAGCACTAATCATTTCTCTTGTCACTGATAATTTTGTGGCAGACTATTTTGTATAAACCACTGTAAAAGGGGCCAGGCTAAATAAACTGATTACTTTCCTTTGGAATGGGTCATTGTAACATTTGTCTTCTGCCTCTGTAATAATATTCAAAATGAGAATAAGCATAAAAAGTTAAAATAGTTTCAAATACAAAAGGACATAGAATGTTTTCTTACTTCTGTGCATGATTCAGAAGGACTTGTCAGAGATTCCAGACCAAAGCTCATTAAGCCAAATTTACTTGTTGAGTAAAACAATATGTTTGAAAGCTCTCGTACATATTAGTCATTAACAGAATTCGAGACTGGGATTCTCAAAGGAACCTAAGGAATTAGGCATCCATATCCCATTTAATTTATATAGAATTTCAACACCAAACTCTCATAATAGGACCTGATCCTAAAAACAGAGGCACATGATTGACTTTACTACTATAAGCAGTTTGATTTCAATGGAACTATTCACTGCTAAATATAAGCACATGCCTACATGTTTGCAGGAGCAAGGCCTTGGCCTCCTTCAAAAATCCCATTGTAAGTACTTAATAACTGCTTCTAATTGTAAATTTTCTAAATAAAACATAATTTGGCTAGTCTCCCTATTGTAGGCAATGCTGAAATACTATTCCAAAATAACTTCTTGCAGTTGCTGATCTTTAAGAATGGATTCTTAATTTCTATATTTTTTCCCTAGCTAAGGAAACTATGTTATTCTCTATAGATATAATTTAATCTATGCCTCTTTATAAATGCACATTGCAGTAGGTCAGTTCTGTTTTACTCTGAGAAAGGAAACATATCAAAACCTTTCAACAGTTCCTGAGAACAAGACATTAGTATTAAAAATTAATTGAACTGTTTGGAGTTGAAATATTAAACATGTATACAAAATTTTTATTATATACACTTTAAAACTTTTTTGATCAGTGCACCTATTTTCTCCAGACTCATTTAGACTTCAAACCAAACACTTCTGACATAAAATTAAATAAAGATCTCAAAAAACTACTGATCTATCTTGAACCATTTTCATCTGGCTTCCTTTCCATCTCCTCCCAATCCAATTTTAAGGGTAACTACTTAAGTAATTTATATCGGTGGATTATATATTTTATGCAATACACATTTGCTATGGCCATTTAAACGCTGTCCTTCTTCCTACATTCTATAGACAGAAGGACAGCACCAAAATCTCCATTGCCAGTTTCAGAACCTCACGATACCTGTCCAACTCCCCTGAGGTTGCTTCTGTCAGCCGCTGCTGCTAAATGAACCCTTGCAATGAGAGAAGGGCTTGGGTCCTGTGCCTGCAGCAGGGGCACCAAGCGGTCTGCCCTCACAGAATCAAACGAGGAGAGGGACAGAGGAAGTAGCTGATAAACCCACCACTTTCCCAGCGCGTGGACAGGCCCAGATGTAACCATAGCAACCCCAGTACACTGAACGTTCTAGGGGATGGGGAAGGCAAAGGTAAAGATCATCCCAGGCTTCCAAGCCAGGAGCTACGATCGCTTTTGTCTCTGGCGCTGAAGCTGCAGCAGGGACTCACTCCCTCGTTCCCGGTGCTGCTGTCATTATGCAAATGTGTTCACCTGCTACTTACGCACAGGAGGCAAAATTCTGGTTGTTTCTTGTCCAGATTTAACAGAAAAGGGTCTATGGTTTGTTGCTTAGGTGTAGGATCGCCTGCTTGCTTGCAGAGACAAATGTAACCCCTTGGGTTACCTGGGACACTTAATCCCTTAAGTATTAAAAACCTTTTTGAAAATAGGCTGCAGGGTCTGGACAAGGTAGCCGGGCTCCCAGGATAGCAATGTTGGCTCTGCTACTGACTTCGCTGTGGGATAACCATAGGCTACTCCTTGCATCCTAGTTTCTCCATCTCCAACATATTTGTTCACTTCATAGGGATAGTGGGGGTGGCTTGACATCACAAGATAGGAACAGCCTCTTTGCAACTGCAGAATACTGCTTCTACCAATAGCAATGCTGATTTCACTGTATAGAAATGTTTTCTTTCTCCTTCCAACTCCCATCTACAGTAGGAAAATAATTACAGTGCCTTTTTAAACACTAATGGGGACAGGATTTGATAGCTTTTATTTTTAAAGCATGCTAGTGGATTATGATCAATCTTTAGAGTCAATTTGATGCTACCTTTACTAGTAAAGATTTTTTTTAAAGATGCATATGCTAGTGCTTAAAATTGTGTTGGAGAACACAGTCTAAAACACAAGCTATTTTCTATTCCAGGCATAGTCCATAAAATAAATCCTAGATCCACGCTCTGGCATAATTTGGAGGGAGACAGGCCTGATATAAATTTTAATTAAACTTGATGATCTCTCACCACTCAAAGCTTTAAAATAACTCACTAAGGCTGCGTCTAGACTAGCAAGTTTTTCTGCAAAAGCTTGCCAGCTGTCTAGACTGGCCGCTTGATTTTGCGCAAAAGCACTGACATTCTACTGTCTGAAATCAGTGCTTCTTGCGCAAATGCTTTGACGTTCCCGTTCGGGCAAATGCCCTTTTCCGGAAATGTTTTTGCGCAAGAGGGCCAGTGTAGACAGCTAAAAACTGTTTTGTGCAAAAAAGCCCCGATGGCGAAAATGGCAATTGGGGCTTTCTTGCGCAAAACCGCGTCTAAATTGGCACGGACGCTTTTCCGCAAAAAGTGCTTTTGCAGAAAAGCATCCATGCCAATCTAGGCGCTCTTTTCTGCAAATGCTTTTAACGGAAAAACTTTTCCGTTAAAAGCATTTGCGGAAAATCATGCCAGTCTAGACGTAGCCTAAGTCTATAAGACTCCCACTTAGACAATTTTAAAAAATGAATATATCGTGGTAAGTCTGTAGATACACAATATAGCATATAAACCAGAAAGCATATGCAATCTTCTTTCACCACTGAGAAATGGCTGAACACAACACATTAGTCCAAAAATACTTACTAACTTTATTCTGCAATAGTGCAGGGCTGTCCTCCTCTGATTAAAGACCCTCTTGTCAACACAACTATAAAATCCCTGGAAACAGAGCTTGGCTCTACCTTATGCAAAGCTCATCTCCCAGTGTCATTTGTCAAGTATCCAATACCTTTAATTTATTACCCCTTTGGTTAGCTCTCATCCATTGTTTTATTCCCTATCCTGCATTCCTACTCAACCCTCAAGTTCAGTCCTTCCCCCTCCTGCTGCCAGTGTGGACCCCTCCTCTTCACCTGCTTCCTGACCCATGCCCTTCCCTATCTCCTCCCTATCTGGGAGCCTCTCTCCCCTTTCCCTTCTATTCTGCCCCCTGCAGAATACAACATTCCATCTCTAACCGGAGGTTTCCCTCTCTCTCCATGCCCCAGCAAGTTGGACCCATGATCTCCCCCCAAAAAACTGCCACTGAGAACATGACCTACCACATTCAACATTCCCCATCTCCAGGACCCTCTCACCACTCTGAGTCCACTACCATCATTAGTCCCACACTAGCCATACATGTGCATGGCCCTGACAGATGTGGGTATCCCCAATCTCAGCACATCTCCCCAAGGTGGCCTTGCACTATGGTGGAGCACCTAGAATGGAGCAATGCAGCCACCTCCATTCTTAGGCTCTCCAGCTACACCACATTTAAGTGGAAGGAGGCAGCATTGAGCAGTGGTGATACCCTCTGCTGCACTAACCCAATGCTCATCCCTGTCTAGCCACCCTACCATATACACCTAGAACTATCTGGGTGCTGTAGGACCAAACACATCCCACTTATCTCCACCCGCTTCTGTCATGCTCAAAAAACATGACACACTCCACCTTGGCTCATGTGTTTTACATGTGGAGCCCTGCACCTGCTGTCCCATATTCGGCTACCTGTGCTGGACTGGTAAAAGCTAGGTACTCCTGGGTCTCTGAGCACACCTACTGGGTCAAGCCAAAAAATGAGAGAAGTATTCCTCTACTTATCTAGTCCAGATCACCAATCTCGGTCAAGGCAAGCAAAAGGCACTCAGTCACCTCTTGCAGGCCAGCAATGTACATGCTCCAGAGCTAAAACTTAGGTGCCTAGAAACTTTTAGAGGAAATATAAGCACCAAGTGAATTTAGGCATCTACCAATAAACAGCAGCAGAATGGCGGTTTCATTAATCAAAATGGTGCTATGTATGGAAACAGACAATTAAGTTGCTTTGTGGATACCACATCAGAGCGTCGCATATTCAAAGTAGAGTGTTTGATGGGTTAGCTCAATGGTGCACAGCCTGTGGGTCGTGACCCCCCCGGGGGAGTAGAGGGGTCGCAGCGCTGTGATTCAGGCTGGCCAGTATTTTCTTTTCCCGGGTCGGCACCCAACGTACATGCGGCGGGAGCGAGGGGAGTGGCAGGCGAGCGGCATTTAAAGGGGCCGTGCTCTGCCCCTTCCCCCCCAGCCAAAATTTTCCTGAGGGGGGGCGCAAGTGCAAAAAGGTTGCATACCCCTGGGTTAAGATGACAGATATCCCCTTGAGGTTGTCAGTTGGTGTGCTGATCAAGCCACTGATGCCTATTTTCCTTGCCTGTGGGGTTTTCCACTGCCCTTTCTTGCTGTGCCAGAAAAGCTCTAGTCTCCCCTGAGCCAAGGAAGAAAGTTGGAGTTACCGCTTCTTATAGTCCAACACATACACTGAAACCAGTTCAGCGAATAGGTTCTCAGCACCAAGGAAACCAACCCCCAAACATGATCAAAACCCCAGTCAAAAGAAAAGAAAAAGAAAACCATATTTTCTGTGTAAAACTTTTACAGAGTAAGCTCATAAGGTCAGCCCCCTTTATCAATGAAAGATATGCATAGTGGTTACTTCCCCTCCCAGGAAACAATTATTTACACTGAGCTTAATAGAAAAAAGTGTTATTAAATATAAAAAATAGAATTTAAGTGGTTGCAAGTGAAGTCAGTCAGCTTAATGAAAGTTAGAGTTAAACAAAAATGCAATTAATTCACATATACTAAGAAATTTATTACATGCAAATTCTTAGCCTAAACAGTTGATCTTATCTCAGGTAATATACTGCAATTCAGGAGTTAATCTTTTACTCTAGCCTGAGTCTACAGCTTTTTTTGGAGTTTTGTTGCCAGGTTTCTTCATGTATAACCTCTTAAGGTATGAAAGGCAATTTCAAAAGCCAGCTTAAGAAAAAAAACTGATTGCTTTCCATTCTTTAAATAGATTTCCCCCTGGGTGGGAACATAAACCCTTCCCATCCCCATGGAAAAAATACTTGGTGGTTCAAGATGGCATGGTCACATCTCTTTCCAGGGTCAACCACAGTTTGGGCTTATAGGATAAACAAGACCATTCATAAGTCATTGTTTTGAATACTGAGGCATTAGGTTCCTAATATATCCCTAATGGCCCTCATTAGCACATTTAGAATTAAAACCAGATTCACACTGTTTATTTCTAACTTCACATACAAAAATTGTATATGCACAAAAATAGCAT